ACATCTATTTAAATAATACTAAATCATAAATTATATATTATTAATTAAATTAATTAGAATTTAAACTAAATATTTACTATAATTTATACTCTTAATATAATAATACCAAAACATAAACATTTATATATAACATATAATAAAAAAACAAAGAGACTTAACAAATACACTAATTTACATAATATAAATGCATACTGAATCAGGAAATTAACTTAATAAACATTTACTTAAACTTGGATTTCATATAGGTTAGGGTTGTCAGAAAGTTCAATATATGTTTGTGAAAAATAAATTCCAAAAGGCATTCAACTTTAAACTTAATTTTATTTTTAGATAAAATTTTCTTGAGTGTTTGAAGAATAATATTAAATTTTCTTAAATATAAGAACTTTTAGAATCAATAATTGATCTTGGCACTCTTAATTTGCACATGTAAAACATCAAGAAAAGATAAATACTTGTAAACATCATTATTAAGTTAATCATTATACAAAAATGATTATGATAGCAAAATCATTTAAATTTTAAATGATAATAATCAATTTTTCATAATATATTTCAGTAATATTAATATAATGAAATTTAAATTTAACACAAATACTAACATAATCAACTTGGGTTAGTTAATATTAATTTGTAAACTGTTATGGAGGTTTAAAGAAAGAAATATGATTATCAATAAAGGGATGATGTAACTGGGAAGAATCATTGAAAATCCTATATGTAATGTTCAAGTCAAACAGGATTCAATCGATATAAAAAATGATTAAAAATAAATGTGGAAATTCTACAATTTATGAAAAATTAATTTCTATAAATATTTTCAATAAATTTAAAAATAATCAAATTATCCTTATAAAGATTATAATAATTTTATAAGAAAAATAACTATTTAGTATTTATGAAAAGTATATTATATAAATTAATTTTGATAAAGAATAAATATATAACAAAAATAGTTATTATTATGATATTTAAATAAAATCATTGAAATTGAAAGTTAAATATACTATTTGAATTAGATTTTAAAAATATTAGGTTGTTAATAATTTTAATTTCTAGCTTTCTTATTGAATTATTAATAGTAATATTTATTATGAAATAATATATACCTTTTCTTTAAATTGATCTTAAATGAAATTTGTATTGAATTTACAATGTAAAAATAAAATATATTAAATTTATTTATTAAAATGCAGACATTAAATGATTATGAAATAATAGAAAAATTGGGTTCTGGTTCATATGGGGATGTAATGTTGGCGAAATAGAAAGAGAATGGATAATTAGTTGCAATTAAAACTTTAGAGAAAAGATTATTAATAAAGGTGAGCTAATTTGTTTATAAAAAGGAAAAAAAATAATATTAGGTTTTTATTGAAAAAGAAGTGTTAACATAAGTGAAGCATCCTGGATTGATAAATTTAATTGCTAGTTTTTAGAGTTCATCATAAATTTATTTGGTGCTTGAATTTGTAGAGGGAGGAGATTTTGCAAATTTTCTGAAAATTAATAGTAAAAATGCAGTTTATTATGTTAGAAAATATTTCTTAATAAAATATAGTTTTTTATTCAGCAGAGATTGTCAGCATATTGGAATAGTTACATTCACATGGTATAGCTCATAGGGACGTGAAGGTAATAAGTTTATAATGATAAAAAGCCAGAAAACATCATGGTAGCAAATAATTTACATATAAAAATGATTGACTTTGGAACAGCAAATTTTTTTGATGAGAGAGGGTTACCAGAGAGTGTAAGAGACAAATTAAATGAATTACGCGAAGTGAGTTAATAAGATGAAAGATTCATGGATGAAATTGATTAATATTAATAAAAACACAAAGCAACATTTGTAGGGACAGCTGAATATGTATCACCAGAATTATTAGAGGATGATGTATGTGGTCCTTAAGCAGATTTATGGGCATTGGGGTGCATAATTTACAAAATGTTTACAGGAATAACTCCTTTTTGTGATTAGACAGAATATTTAGTATTTTAGAAGGTCAGAGCTTGTCAGTATTAGAAGAATAATAAAATTCCTTAAGAAGCAATGGATTTGATAAGTAAATTATTAGTAAGAGATCCGTTGAGCAGATTGGGAGGAGGATTGCCTAGTATAATTTATTTATATTAAGATTCAAAGAATACTTATAGAGAACTAAAAAGCCATCCTTTCTTTAAAGAGATAAATTGGGATTAATTGTGGAGTAGAAAGGGACCAGATGATGTGTAAATACATTTGAAGAAGTAGAGTTAAAAATAGGAATTATAGTTAAAAAAATAAAGTTCAGCTTTAAAGCCAGAAGTTGTATTAACTGGATTAGTGAATAAGAAGACTGGTTAGTGAGATGAATATTATAGGTTGGATGATTTATAAGTTACGTAATATGATTTTGTATGATTACGAGATTCCAAAATTGGAATATTTTGATCCAAATACAGGAATGAAGAAAGTAAGTAAAGAATTTATGATTAAAAGGGATAAATTATATTGGATAAGAATGTGATAATAGAATTACTAAAAGGGCAATTCAATATTGATGTGCCTAATAAAAAAAAATATTACTTTAAAGTATAACTGTTATTAAGTTAGGAATGTGAACATCCAGCATAATTATGGGTTGATAAGATTAAAGATATTATGAAGAAAAGACTTAATTATGAATGATTATTTGCATAGTTATGATTCATTAAAAAAAGTCTTTAGGAAATTTATTACCAGCTCTGACTCTAATTTTAAGAGGTATTTTTTCTTCTGATTCATTTCTTATGAGTTAACTCTTTTTATTAAACTTATTATTTAGTTCTTGAGTGGAGAGTAACAATAATTCGAGAATGTTTTCGTTATCAACTTTTTCAAGTTCAATTTTAAGATTGCGAGCCACTTAAAGATTACTTTTGCTGTCATGTTCAAACCCAATAGAATCATTGTTTTGAGGAGAGTTAAAGAAATATTTTTTCTTTTGTGTAATGACACCTTCTCGATCTGGATTGTTATTTAATTTTTAAGTATTAATTGAATTTCTTCTCATCTATGATAATATATCTCTAGACTCATTAAGTCTACTTGAGATAGGTTATTTTATTGATTATTGTTAAGCATTATTCTATAATAGAGTGTTAATATTACAATATGAATGGAGATTTTGGATGATTTGCTTTATAAATTTTGTTATTATTATTTGAGTTTAACCTTAAGTATTTCTTTGCTTGTTATATATGTTTAATAGGAAGTGGGTTATTTATTATGTTTAGGACTTTAATTAAATACATCTATAACTTTGATTCTTTCACTTGATTTACATTTTTCTTCACTACTTTATCGCTTAATTAATTGATTTCTTTGAGTTTATGAAACAGATCTATATTTATATGCTTCATCTCTTTTTGTAATGAGTAGATCCAATCCTTTCTTAGGAGTATTGTCAATAGAGGATTGATTATTATTCTCTAAGATGATTTTACTTAATTACTAGATAATATTTATTGTGCATATAGACTTAGATTAGTCTATTTTGTTTGAGGCTTAATAATTTTGGAATGTTGATGCTCAATGGACCCAAAATTGAGTTAAATTTTTGGAGAACTATAATCAATAGTTCTTTAAGTTAAATCTTAATTAATGAATTCTAAGGTGATATACTAATAATACTTGCTTTAGTGAATCCTTAAAAGTCTAATTTTGGCTTTAGATTAATTTTCTTGGATCTTATTTATTCGTTAGAATAATACGACGAGAGATATTTTTTGAGCATTATTTTAACTATTTTAATATATAATTATAATAAGTGTAATATTGTAATTCAGTTCTTCAATTATGTTGAGGAAATAGTCTTGATCTAATCGAACAACATCTTCAATTCTAGATGTTTACTAGTCAATGATTCATATTCAGCAATAATATCCTAATTCTAATCTTCTAATGATTCACATTTTTGCATAGCTTCTTTGAATTTCTCTTAATAATAATCTCTTTCATCTGTTATTGGATCTACAACTTTTTTTAATTCTATTTCAATTTATTATCTAAACCAATTATCCAAAGATTATTATAATTCTGCAAATTAAGCTTAATAATATTATGTCAATTCACTAATTTTTTGTGTATTTTATTCATTTTCTATTTTTGCATTCTATAAATCATTATCTTATTATTCAATCATATACTTCTAATCTTGAATTTATTATTCATAATTTTATTTTTCATTTTCAAATATAGTTCTTAATTAATTAATTTCTTGTTGTGATGATTAATACTGTTATTTTAATGTTTCATTAATACTACTTAATCTCTTGTATTAATCAAGAATATTATCCTATTATTCTTATAATACATTTTTGCTTAATTCTAAATTTTCAATATCTAAGGTAAGTTATTAGTTTGTTTTCATGACTTCTTATGATTATAAAATAGAAGATTACATATTCTTGATTTCTGATTATACATTCTATAATTCATTAAATAATTTAAGATTGTCTGATTTAAATTTTAATAATTGTTCTTATGAAGTTTGTAATCTATTCTTTAAATATTAAATTTCAGCATCTTTGCTTTCTAAAGATTTAATAAATCCATCTTAATCATTTTAACATACTTCTACTAATAATTCAAGTTCTTTGACTTAAGTAACTTAGGTCTTACAATTTGATAATGATTATTATAATTATGTAAGTTCATTTTTTAATTATGAATTTTCAGTTAATACTCTATTTAATTTCATTTCAACTTCTGCCTTTTATTGTTTTAGTGATTAGATTTAGAATTGAACAACAGAGTATTCTTATAATTTCTCTTCATTAAGTAATAACTTCTCTCTTAATTATTTAATAGTATTTTAATCTGATTCTGAGTTATTAGATTAATATTATTATTATAATCTCTATAACTATTAATACTTTAATTAGATATCATTATAAGATTTCTCTTTCTCTTATAAGAACTTATGTTATAAATCATATTCTTCTTTTAATTTATCATATTTAGTTTGTAAATCAGAATTTCCATAACCATGTTTTGTAGTGTGTTAACTATATGTAATAGATTGTTAGATGTTTTCATCTCTTACAGATAATCTATTTTATTAAGTCTTGAAATCTTATTCACTATTTCTGTGTTTATTGAATTTAATCTATTTGAATTGCAATAGATTTGCATCTTACATTTTTAATCTATCTTCAACTGTTTACTAATTATTAACGAGCTATAATGAAAATTCAGATAGTTTATCATCCATTCCTCTTTCTGAAACTTAAGTCTTTGAATTATATTATCCAATTCTATTTGGTGAATTTGTTGATCTATACAATTCAGGTGCTTTTGGTGGTAAACACTTAATATAAAATTTTGTTTACATTTACAAATACTTGAGCAGGAGATTGTAAAGATAGTTTCTTATAGTCATTATCAATTTATTATTTTGATATAATGGCTAAGGAACTAAATGGTTATACAAATCTATTCTTTTGATTTGATTATCTCATTGGTGATATAGAATTTTGGGTATGCTATGTAACCAAATAATCATATTTCAAAGGTGATATTGGATGAGAATTCTAAACTGAATGTTGAAGAGATGCAGTTGTAGGTCTTCGTTAAGTATGGGTTTCATTATGTTGAATATCAGCATTGCTCATTAACGTTCAAATTATTAAAATATAATAAAGCATTTTTATATTTTATTGTTAGAGATTTAGATTGGATAGTGTATTTGAGTATAATAGAACCAATAATTTATTAATAAGAGACTCAACATAATTTCTTCTTTGTATTAATGATTATATTATTCATAATTTATTAATAATAATATGTTAGATAATAGTGAAATTATAATTAGAGAATCATTGGAAAGCTATCTTAATTATCAACATGTAGATTGTGTATTAAAAGTAGAGATGAGTAAACCACATTTAAGATAGAAATATTTTGAATGTTTGTAATTGGAATCATTTGTTGAATTCGTATTGACTTGTTTAGAATTAGTAAATACAACTGTACTTATGAAACAAAATTATCAATTAAGTCATAAATTGCATTTACAATATTGGAAGATATTCAATGAATTACCTTAACCAAAAGATGAAATGGTAAGTTTCATTTTAATTGCAGTATGGTTCTTAATACATAGTACAATATTTAAATTACAAACACAAGAAGAAAGAAATAAAATTGATCAAAGATTTCTTTTCAACTCTTACCATGTTCTATTATATTATATTAATGGATTTTATGTATCAGATGAATTCGTTTAATAATAAGTCGATATGTATCTTAATAATAGATATTTGGATTATAGACTCAATTCATTTTAAAAAAAGAATCTCAAAAAATAATAGATGTAACAAACTCAAACTAATTTATTCCCAAATGTTAGCATACCTGAATTAACATAAGTCTAAGGAGCAACTTAATTTTAAAAAGAATTAAGATTTAGAAAAAAATAAAAAAAATAATAAAGTGAACCTATTCTTGTTGAATAACCACCATAATAATTAACAAGAATGGAAAATAGATCAGATAGAAGTGGTCGATTTCCAAACTCTATTAAATTTAATCTTAATCAATTATCACCATCTATTAATTCACTATTAAATCTCAGCAATAAGGCTACTCCAAGAGCTAAATTAGTTACACATTAAATTATATCACATAATTTTAATTAAGCTAAAGTATCAAATGTCTTAAAAAGTTTGGATGAACCAAGAACTACATTAACTTAAATGAAAGAAAGCAGAGATAATGGAAAAGGCTAAAGATTACTTGATAAATATAGAGTTACTTAACCACCTCTTGAGTATTTTAAGAAACATCCAAAAGTTGATCATCTTTTTAGAGATATGTTAGAAATGAAGCTTGTTTTATAATAGAGTCATTAACATATTTATACATCTCCTAGATTAGCAAAAGAAGATTCAACTGCATTAAGAGAAAAATTAACTCAATATTTGGAAGAAAGAACATTAAAATAAAATTTAAATCCACAAAATGATATATTATAATAGAGTCCATAATTTGGATCTAATATGATGATTACATATTAACATGTTAGAACACCTAGTGATGGAACAAGAATGTAAGAAACATATTCTGTATTTCCATAAGGTTAAATTAGTTCATTCCTTCAAACACAAATTACACAATCCCCATAACCAAAATCTAATAATAAATTTATTTATGAAGACAAAAGAAAACAATATACTGATAGATTCAATAAAGCTACTAGTAATTAAACTACAGATGATAAAATATCTAATTTATAACATAATCTACTAGTTAAACAACATATGATTTAATAACATTTAAAAAAATAGCATTGATTTATTAATTATATAGAATTCATTATGTTACTTTTATAAACTATAATTATATTTATAATCTGAATAACTGATTATTTTAAATACTTTTATTATATACATTTATTAATTTACATCCATTAATCATACATAATATATGAATTATTGTTTATTAATCGAGAAAATGATAAAAATGTGTTAATTCTAAGAGTATTGATTCAAACTTAATATAATTCTATTATTTTAATAAATATATAATAATAATAGAAATGCCATTAATACCCTGTTTAAAACATGATGGATCTTATATTCTATATATCAAAATAGATAAAGATAAAACAGAATTGATTTGCGATGAATGTTGCTTACCATTTTACGATAAAAAATTACATGCTAATTAATCAGGATTAATTCACATCAAGAGTGTATAATTTCATATTCTACTATGAAAGGTATTAAAATCCCCTTATTTATTGCTATCAAATGATTAAAATTCTTTCGTATATGATACATTAAATCAATTTGATAAAATTAATGATAAGTTTATTAATAGTTTTCTTGATAAGCTCAATACTCAAATTACGAACATTTAAAATGCATTTCAGGTTGTCTAAAAAGAATTAGAAGATTATGCAAATTAATTTCTAAATATGAAATAGAAATTTAAGAATGAATTGGAAAAAGTAATATTTATAACATAATAGATTATACAATTTGATTAATTTAAATAAATTATAGTGAATCTTGAAAATTTAGGAAATTCAATAAAGTCTGAAGATTTAGAAATAAATGAAAAGATTCTCTACAAATATTTATAAGATATAAAAAATATTGATTATAACTAATTATATTTTCTTTTATTAAAGAAAATTGAGGAATTACGAATATAATTTAATGATCTTAATAAACAATAATACCCAGAATGTCAAAAATTATAAGAATAATTGAAATCTTTTCATAGTAATTAAATAGAATTCATAAATTAAATTAAACAAATAACTTTTGATTAAGTATTTTCATCAAAAATATTGTCAGTTTAATTCCTAAATAAGATCATTACTATAATTTCATCTAAACTAAATAAGTAATTTATAAACTATCAACGAATATACTTGAGTACTATAGATGGATTAAATGGACAATCCTTTTGGAATAAAGTTAATTAAAAATAAAATTTATTAATGATATTTAAATCTAAAAGCGGATATATTTTTGGTGCATTTTCTCCATGTAATTGGATATCAAATTGTAATGGTGCTTATGTTTAAGATAATACTTTGTCATCATTTATATTTTCATAGACTCATGATTAAATATATCCTATTAAAAAAGGATGTTAAGGAAATGCAATTTATTGTAATCAATCATATGGACCTACTTTTGGTGGTGGTCATGATATTAATATATCAACAGATTTTTAAGGTGGATATTCTAATTTAGGAAATTCTTATCAATGTGATTAATTCCAATTAAGTAATACGAGTACACATTTATTTGGTCAATCAACTCCAAATATAGCAGAATGTGAGATATTGATGTTAACATTTTTATGAATTATATATATTTTTAGATTTGAATTTAGATTTAAGTATTTATATTATCTTTAAATGTTTGTTCTTTACATTCAATAATTTGATTTTGAATAGCTTTTACCTTTACTATTTAGTAATCAACTGAAATATATGTAATTAAATGATATTAAATCTTGAAATCATTAAATTAAGAAGAACAACTAAACAACGTGTTTTTTTTATGATTAAATAAAAGGATTTCGATGATCTATTACATTTAAATGTTAATAAAGTGAAGTATGAATTGGTGTTGTATTTAAATCATAAAATATGATAAAATAAAAATATAATACAACTCTAAATAATTTATCACATTTAATAAGTGTTTTTCTTTTAAAATCAGTCAGAGGAAGTTTATGAGGGAGATACAGATAATTTAACGAACAGATATCAATAAAAAATTAGGAGGAATAATTTAATAACAAAGAAAAATAGAGATTACATTTTAAATCCCTCAGAAATTCAACATTTATCAAAAATAATCTAACTCTAATAAATATAATCGGAATTAATTAAAAGATTTTAAATTTAATATTAAAGCAAAATCTAAGACAATTCTTTGTCATTCTTTACATTAAGGAAAAGAATAGAGTTTTGCAGAATATTAAAATAAGTATAAAAGAACACTCAAGATGAAATATTAGAAATTCTTTAGTTTATATTTTAGAACTGTATATTTAATTATTTTTTTAATTAATTAGATTTAAATTAAAATTAAATAATACTTTCTTAAATAGTATCAATTTATAAAAGGGCTTAAAATTTGGATATTAATCAATCTCAATAAGCAGATACTATGTAAATGGTAATTTTAAACCTATGTCTGTATCATCAGTTTTTAAATAGCTGTTATATTCCATTCAATTGAAGAAATAGGTAGGTAAATAAATAGTCATTGTTTTACCTTTTTAATGATTCATAGATACTATAAATATAAGGTTTATATCAAGATTCATCCTATTGAAAGTATAAACTTATTTGAGTATTTCTGTTTAACTTTGAGTTTAGTATTATTTGATTAAAAGGTTAAAATAATTCAAATAGATTTTTTTCTGAAAGAAACCTCTGTATGTTATAAATTTGAATGCATTGCCAATTATAGTTATGAATTACTATTATTGATGCATATGATAATAAGCGATCTAAAATATAATTAATCTTCTGGTCTTCTGAAATTTAATATGTAGTATAAAATTTTAGTGAAGAGATCAAACAATTAAAATAAGTTTGATTTTTTAAGATTAGAACAATTTGATTATGTATTCTTTGACAGGTGTTTATTAATTAGGGTACGATTAAATCTTATTATAGCAACTCAATCTGAAAACTAAGTTTAAGTATAATTATTATTATTATTGTAATGATTATTTGTCTTTTATTATTTCAATAGTATACACAAATAATATTCATTTTCAACTTTAGATCTAATTTTTGTTGAATAGTCTAAATAGCTAATCTCTAATAATCTATAAAAAGAGTTTTCTCATAAACTGATATTGAATATTTAAGTCTATTAAATTAATTTTATAAATGTTATAATAATTTAGATTACCAAAAATTTTATTAAAATTAAAGCATTATTTCATAGAATGTAATTCTTAAGTAAGATAAACATAACTAAAGAATCTTAGAATATCTGAACCTTATTAAGGTGTGTATTAAATATCTTTAAAATCAAAAAATAATTGCAATAAAATTTTTTAATGTAATTTAATTAATTAAATCTCATTTAAAATTATAAAATACAAATTATTGTTATTCTTTTAATTAAGAAAATTTTTTTGAAGATACTATTCATAATTTTAGATATTTTAAGATACATTTAATTGTTTTATATTTATTTAATTTTATGACAACCTCATTTATCTGTATTAATAAATAATTATAATATTTGAATTGCTTTTAGACCAAAAAAATAGATATTAACTTGAAATGTTCTTCATTAAATTTCTCTATTCTTGAATTTCCATTTAGATTATCATTAAGGCCACTCAAATGTTCACAAATATAATAATCAATTTCAATCTCTATTCTTCATAATTTCCAACTATAAAATCATTATATTTTTATTAAACTTATTAATTTTTAAATCCAAATTTATTTTAATAATTTTCATCCAGCATATATATTTGTATTTTTGTTATACTTTCTCTTGAATTCATTATTCAAATAAATTATATTCAATCAAATATCGTTTATCTTTTGAATATTTTATATTTATTAGATAACTCCAAAAAGATAAGAAATCCTCTATTTATTCAACTTAGCTGTGATGCAAAACCAATCTATACAGTTTTGAATTTTCTACAACAAATTTCTTAAATATCTTTATACAAAGGAGGATTCAAATAGTTTAATCAAATGACTTAGAAACATAATTATTTATAGGTACCATTTTCATACAGAATTGGAAATCATGGTTTTATATCAGCTATAAATATTTTTAGATCGGTATTAATTAAATCTTAAAAAATATCTTCTTAAGAGACATCTCTCTTATTTTCATTCATACTTTTTACAGTTTCTTTTTCTATATATAAACAGTAACTTGTTTGGTAGATCCAGGGAACTAAATCATGTTAAATACAATAAATTTTAACTAGATTTTAAATGCAAATAGATATCTAAATTAGATTATAATTTTTATTTCTACCTATATTTTAATATCAATTTACCATTCTTTTGTAAATTGTTTGAGATTTTTAGACTGACTTAGAGGTTATTAGAATTCCTTCAATTAAGCTTAAAACAATCAAGCCTTCAATGCCTCAATGGCATCTCCAAATGTCTTAAAAATTAAAATTTGGTATATTGGAGTATATGCATAAATATTTTAGGGTGTAATCTCCAAATTTTCATTGAAAATAAATGCTCTTTAGGTATTTTTATAGAACATGATATTGGTTTATTATCAAAAGGTTCATTTAATAATAGAAATTTAATAATATTCCAAATTTCTAATCTATAATTTTTCTGCCCATTAGATTATAGATTTACAATACCTATGTTCCATGTTTATTTATGATAGAAGCATCCACGTGAACATTTTAATTTCTAAACCAAATTTCGAGCCCTCTGTAAAGTATATATAGGCAGCAAATAGATATAAGTTCTAAAATAAAACCTTAAAAACAAAGGAAATCTTCGTTTCTATAATCTCCATGTTTATGGATGATATATTATTTCTGACTAAAATAATTATAGGATTTCCTTCTCTTTTTAAAAGTAATAATATTTAGGCCATTCTCCTCTTTTTTGAGCCCATATATTGGACTTATTGAGAAAAATGATATTGAAGATACTAAGTTTTATTTTTTTCTCATAAAATTCTTTGATAAAGAAAGAGCTCCAGTAAATTAATTTATATTAAAAATTTACCTATTTAAAAAGGGGCTGACACTGCATTTTATAATACATAAACACTCAGAGTTTAGTGATGAATCTAAACTTACTCAAAACTTTGCCTTATCTATTGAATATAAAAAATGGATACTCAAAGTTTTTATCCCATCTCTTTGCTTGAAGGAGTTATTAATAACAGCTATCTCTATCATATAGCTAATGCTATAAACACTAATATCATGATTAATTATATTTCAAAAAATTACAGAAGAATATAATTGATATACGGAATAATAGAACTATCCATAAAAAAATTACTAAACATTTTTCTTTGAAGAAAATGTTATATAGAATTCATATCGTGGGATCTTGAATTATAGAAATTATTATGATAGAAGAAACAAAAAATGGAGAGGCAGAATATACCATTTAAAAGCAAACTTTTAAAGACATAAATAACCAAATCTTCAATGAGTCATGAGCTGGATAGCTCTACATAACAAACAGGATGGTGAACTTAGATCCTCTTTTAACTATCAATCCTCATTAAAAGACAAAAACATAAGAACTAAGATAAACATAATGGAACATAAGCTCAATGTAAACTAAAAAGCCCACACATATTTTGCCTTGAAGAAATAAGATACTATTAATTTTAATATTCCCATAATTATAATTATTTTTTAGTCGGTGGACTTTCTGATAGATCTGGTGAAGTTTATTGGAAGTTATAGGTATTTTGACACAAAAGATGTGAAAAGAAGCTTAAACCAAAAGTTTAAAACTGAAATTATATTTGTTTCAAAATAAGAAATTAAAAAACAGATATAATTTTATTTAACTTCTTTTTACATACAGGCTAAGAGTATGTTAAAAGCTAAAATAATTTAAAACTCTGATTAACGAAATTATAATCAATTATTACCATAGCCTTTTTTTTAATATCGTTGGTTTGAGGGAACCTATAGATTCCCTTTATATGAAACAGTCTCCACATATAATTTAATAATAAAATCAATAAATTAATTTTTTAAATATAATTTTAAACTTGATTATGATTCTTTTTATCATCCATGATGACACATATACACTATTAATTGTAATTTTATGCAGATTAAATATCAATACATAATTTAGAAAATTTTCTCAAAAAACCAAAACAAAATATTTTCTAAAATTGAACTAATTAAATAGGCGACGCATCTTAATTAATAATATGTTAAATTTGCTTTTTTTAGTTCATGAAACTAAAATTAGAATTAAAAACCTTTTTTTTTTAAGATACAAAAATATATGTGTAACAAAAAAACTTCATGTTTAGATTTTTTGGACTTACATAACGAAAGTCTTTCAAAATATTATTCAAGATATTTTATAGTTTAGTTATTTTTATTTTATTATTTAGACATTGATAGAAACTGTTTCTATTAAGGGATTCTAAAGTGTTCCAAAAAAAAACAATTTGAAACAAGGCTATGGTAATGCTAAGAATGGATAAACTAATATTATTTTTGTGACTATATCAATCTAAAATTGGATAATAAATTAGATTAACATTACTAAAATAAAAAGAATTTAAATCTCCCCTTTCAAAAACACTAAAAGATATAGTAGAGAATAATTAAAATAAGGAATAGATTGGGTTTGAATTTTAATAGATTAAATAATTAAGTATATTGTACTCCAAAAAGAAGGAAGGAGAAATTTATAGGCGCTATATATATAAGGAAGAAAAAATATCATATTTCTCACAGATTGAATAATTATAATAAAATTAAACAAAAGTATAGTGATTGCCATATAAATGGTATTTTTGATAAATTTTTAAAATTATATAATAAAAAATAAATTTATTTTAAAAGACTTAAGGAATAACTAAACTTTAGAGTAAATTTTCTCAATTAATAAAGTATATTCGTAAATCATAAGAGAAATCAATTTAGAACAATAGTAGTTTTAAGTTCTCTCTATAATTTTTTTGAGATAAGATAAATTGGTAATTTAAACAAATACAATTAAAAAAAATGAAAATACTGATTTTAAAAAGGAGTTGTTTAGGGTTTACCCATTTTCCCATCTTTATTCAATATTTATTTAGACTAATTTCTGGAGAATTAAAATAGAAATATTATTTTATAAGCATTAATTATATTGTTTATGCAAATGACTTATTTGGATAAAATTCATAAGAATATTTTTTGTAATGTTCGGAGAAGAAAGTAAAAATTGGAACTTGTGTATTAAATAGTCAAAATCAACATATTTTTACACAGAGAATCATTCAAAAATTGAAGCATTTGAAATTTTCAAATCAGGAACCACATTAAATAATAATAGATTCGAATTAAAAAATTAACCAAAAAGTGAAATTGGATTCGTAGTGAAATGAAGATGATGGTATAATTGAATTATGAAATTTATATAATAATTCTTTACCTGAACATTAAGAGACTTGTGTAGAATTCAATTTAAGAATATTAAAACAGATTTTATTTAAATAACAAGACAATTTTTTTAAATTGCAATCAGTTTACTAAAATAGATAAAAAGTTAAATTATTGATAGATTAACTAATTTAAAATATAAGAACTAGATTCCGAATAGTTTTAGAATTAATTTAAAATTTTCTATTCCATAATTCATTAGGATTTTTTGATCATATTGCGTCTGAAGATTTAAATATTTAAGCAGAAAAAGTGATTGATATAATTAAAGTGAAAAAGATATGATAACGGTTTAAAGGTTACTAGAGTTTGAAATTGAAAATTATCAAATATAATTAGAGAGAGTCTTAGTATATGCTCCTTAACATGATTATGTAATAATAATAGCAATTCAAAATCTTTTATAACTAATCTTCTTCATCTGTCTATTTTATATAATTTTGTGAGTTTTTGTGTTCTTTTTTGTTTTTCAGTTCTAAAGTTTACAATTTATATCTTCTGACAATTAGGAGGGGTCTTAAGCAGATATAAAGAGGCATCAACTGTTTTAAAAAAAGGTGAACTAACGATAAATATTGAATATCTTCTTAAGTAAAATTAATTAATCCATCCTCCTGCATAGGATTCTTAAACACTTCTTGCTTGCCATATGTTACTGAGTATAAGAAATTTATAAGCCATTGTAGGAGTTTATTTAAAAAAACCCCAACTTCTAATTCTCTAAGTCTACATTTAAATATATTTATATACCTACCATCCTTGTAAATCTAAACCATATAAATCAGGTTCGATTACTCTTATTAACTGATTGGCATAATTTTAACTTAAACTATTAAGGCTTATAAATAGGAGAAAAAATATTTATTTGCGTAGGTGGATATATATATAGAGGTATTGTTATTAGAGATTTTTTATCTAATTAACATTATAAAGGAAAACTCAAATATTTTCATTTCTTTGCCTAACTCCAACATAAATCAATTAACCTCCCACACCATAAACTGATTTGATTAGTCTCCCTAGAAATATAGTCCAATAATAAGATTAATTTAGCCCTTTTAAAAAAACAATTGTATTATGTCCTATCAATTTTATAAAGATGATAAGTAAGCTAGATAAGAATATGTTCTAAATTTATTAAGTTTTAAAAGCAAAGGAACAGAACTTATTTATTTTTATGAATTTGCTAAGTGATTATGGATATTAAAGTTATCAAATCTTAGAGTGAACCATCAATAAAATTCGATAATCATTAAATAAATGAATTATTCATAAATATAAAAAGGGATGCTTAGATAATTTCTAGACCATGCTTCTATTCATTCGGTTTATATTCTATAGATCATAATCCAAATAAATTAATATTCTCAAAAAAAATAGAAAATAATCAGAAGAAAAAAATTTAAATCAAATCTTTAATCAAGATAAAAAATATAAGACCTATTAAATATAACTAATAATTATTCTCAATAATTAATTAAAATAGTGAATTTTAATTAAATTTTATAATACGGCTAATAGATACACAATATCTTTCAAAATTAATCAAGGCTTTTATTAAAAAGTAGTGTATTCAAATCATTTAAACTTATCAAATATATTTATCCTTCTTTCCTGTATTATCAATATATGAATACGTTTCTTAATTCTTCTCTAATATCAAATACGTTTCCATAGAGTGATGACAATATAACAATAAAAAATGGATATCATTCTCCGAAAAACTCATTTCAGCTTGGTGTATAGAATAAAGAATCAATGTCCTAATCAAATCTATATATTTGAAAAATATAGAAGAAGAGAATATTGATTAGCTCTTATCTACTAATAGAGTCTGAATGACTTCACATCATTAATTAGCTTTTCTAAAACTTAAAGATATTTAAGATACAAATACATCTCAAATAGTAATTAATTCTAAGTTTATGTAAATTTAATTAATTATAAAGTTTTAATATAAAATTAAAATTTTAATCTATCTTGGAAATCTAGAATGAATTTTCAAGATACTTTAAATAATATTATTATTTAGTTTCACTTTAAATTTTAAAAAAATACTTAGGAGAAATATGGATTTTTGACAAGCAAATTGGNAATTTAGCCCTTTTAAAAAAACAATTGTATTATGTCCTATCAATTTTATAAAGATGATAAGTAAGCTAGATAAGAATATGTTCTAAATTTATTAAGTTTTAAAAGCAAAGGAACAGAACTTATTTATTTTTATGAATTTGCTAAGTGATTATGGATATTAAAGTTATCAAATCTTAGAGTGAACCATCAATAAAATTCGATAATCATTAAATAAATGAATTATTCATAAATATAAAAAGGGATGCTTAGATAATTTCTAGACCATGCTTCTATTCATTCGGTTTATATTCTATAGATCATAATCCAAATAAATTAATATTCTCAAAAAAAATAGAAAATAATCAGAAGAAAAAAATTTAAATCAAATCTTTAATCAAGATAAAAAATATAAGACCTATTAAATATAACTAATAATTATTCTCAATAATTAATTAAAATAGTGAATTTTAATTAAATTTTATAATACGGCTAATAGATACACAATATCTTTCAAAATTAATCAAGGCTTTTATTAAAAAGTAGTGTATTCAAATCATTTAAACTTATCAAATATATTTATCCTTCTTTCCTGTATTATCAATATATGAATACGTTTCTTAATTCTTCTCTAATATCAAATACGTTTCCATAGAGTGATGACAATATAACAATAAAAAATGGATATCATTCTCCGAAAAACTCATTTCAGCTTGGTGTATAGAATAAAGAATCAATGTCCTAATCAAATCTATATATTTGAAAAATATAGAAGAAGAGAATATTGATTAGCTCTTATCTACTAATAGAGTCTGAATGACTTCACATCATTAATTAGCTTTTCTAAAACTTAAAGATATTTAAGATACAAATACATCTCAAATAGTAATTAATTCTAAGTTTATGTAAATTTAATTAATTATAAAGTTTTAATATAAAATTAAAATTTTAATCTATCTTGGAAATCTAGAATGAATTTTCAAGATACTTTAAATAATATTATTATTTAGTTTCACTTTAAATTTTAAAAAAATACTTAGGAGAAATATGGATTTTTGACAAGCAAATTGGATATTTAAATACACAGCTAAATAAAAATAAAAAGTAATCCTTTTTGTATGACATTTTTCATTAGTTTTATTAGTATAGGTTTTTCTAAATTTTTGTTTTTAAACTCTTATTTTGGTTAATACTTTTAACATTCTCAGAGAAGGTTATTTGTTTTATGAATTACATATCTAGTCGTCATAAAATAATATGAATAATTTGAAACGCATTATTTGCAAATAGGAAAAATAAAATGAAATATTTATCATAAATTAGTATTTATAACAAACTAATACATCTAATTCAAGAAAAATAATTAGAATAGTTCTTATCTCAACTTAGGTATGATAATTGCATTAAAATTATTAACTCAAACCTATGCAATTATAAGAGTCTCCATAAGATATTCTAAGCAATAAATTCAGTCTTTCTATAGTGTTATTCATTCATATATTTTGTGCTAATAAGATATATTAATCACTTGTTAATTTTTTTTTCAAATTAAAAATATAAATACAATTATTTTAATGTCAATAAATAAAATTAATAGAGTTAAAAAATATAAAATTAAATATTAAATTTATTATCTAAAAATGTCATCAAAAGTAAATGAAATTAAGAATTGTTCAACTCATCAACTCCAGATAGTTGCAGTCGATCTTAAAGCCACTAAAGAAAAACAAGAGAAATTCTTATGTGTCAAATGTCTGATAGATAGAGTTGATGGAAATTATATAGTGTTATTGAAAGAAGGATTAGAAATGATTGATTAGATGAAAAATAAATTTAAAGAACAAACCATATCACATACTCAACAACAATAGGAAAATATAAAGTCACTTTAATCCTCTGTCTTAGAGATGAATAAACTTTTCTCTGATGTCTTTACAAAGCTCTAAAATAACTTTGATGAAATAATCAATTCAAATTAATAAGACATTTAGACTAAGGAAAAAACTGTAGAGGAAATAGATTTAGATTAAGATTTTGAAACTCTATCAGATATTTATAAAGGCAACTCTGATTTTGACATGCCCAAACCAAAAATTAAAATAGATAATTTCAAATCATTAATGGATAATTACTAGAGCCAATTTTTTTCAATGGCAAATTCATCATCATTTTCTTAAACGTTTGAATAAATCAAGAAAATTAAATCCTAATATCAAAATGAATTTTCAATAGATTAAGAATTTATTTAAATATATAAGAATGTAAGTATAAATAAATAATATAGAAAACTCCAAGTTTAAAATATAATTGTAAAATACATGAATAAGAAATAATAATGGTTAATATAAATGAATGTGAAAATGAATAATAAAATAGATTTGCATGTGTTGAATGTATTTAATAATATCCAAATAAATATATTTCATTAAACGAAGCAAATAAAAAATGGAATTAATATAAATAATAATCAAAAGAAATTAATAATAATTATTAAAATTAAAGATAATCTAAATTTAATTAAGCTATTTAAATGATATCTTAATTTAAATAATCATATAATAATTAAATTAATGAAATTATTTAATCATTAGAAAAATAATATAAATTAGATGAATCTATTATAATATTAGGAGATAATAATTAAATTAATTTTACTATAGATGAATTAGATTAATAAGAAATATTAAAAATATTAAATATTTTAAGTTAATAAGATTAACATTATAATTTAAAATAATAATAATTAAAATTAAATTAAGATGATTCTATCTATTTATAAAATTTTATATTAAATTTAGATAATCTTATTTAATTAAATATATTAAATAAAAATAATTTAATGAATATATTTATAGATAATTAATAATAATTAATAAATATAAATCATATTTAATTAAATTAGAATTAAATAGATTCATAATCAATTATTCAGAAATTTAAAATTTTAGAATAATATATTAATATTATTAAAGATTCTTTTAATTATTATAAGAATTTATAATAACAAATAAATTAAATTGATTTATCATAATTATTAGAATAATAATAAAAAGAATATTAATAATATTAATCTAATTCTAATTTAATGTAAATATTAATTATTGCTGAAGATAATTCATAATTATTATTAGTTAATTAATAATAATTATTAAAATTATAAGAATTAAATATTCAATAATAAGAATAATTAAAATAATTAAATTAAGAAATAGATCAATTGAAAAAGAATGAATTACAATTATAAAATGAATTATAATAAAATAAATAATTAAATGATACTTTAAATACTAAATTAAAAGAATAATAATAATAATATTAATAATTATAAGATACTTTAAATAATAATATAAAAGAATTAAAAACTAAAGATTAAGAATTATAGAATCAATTACTTTAACATTAAGATTTATTAAAAGAATTAAAATGTGTATATCCATATATATCTATAAAATGGACAATTGGTAAAAATACAATTTTAAAAGATGATTATTTTAGTAAAATTCTTAAAACAATTGAAGAAAAAACTAAGAAAAAAGTGAAAAACTAATATTTCATTTATTCTGGAGCATAAAATGGATTAAATGGACAATCCTTTTGGAAATCTGTTGATAAACTATCAAATTTATTAATGATATTTAAATCTAAAAGTGGATATATTTTTGGTGCATTTTCTCCATGTACATGGATGTCAAATTGTAATGGTTATATTTAAGATGATACATTGTCATCATTTATATTTTCATAGACTCATGATTAAATATATCCTATCAAAGAAGGATATAAATAACATGCTATTTATAGTGGTCAATAATATGGACCTATTTTTGGTAGTGGTCATGATATTTATATTTCAACAGATTTTTAAGGTTCTTCTTCTAATTTAGGAAATTCTTATCAATGTGATTAATTCCAAATAAATAATAATCGTACACATTTATTTGGTCAATCAACTCCAAATATAGCAGAATGTGAGATATTGATGTTAACATTTTTATGAATTATATATATATATTTAGATTATTGATCTATACAAATTATATTAAATATATATCAATTAATTATATATAACATTGCTATTAAATAATTTAAATTATTCGATGGTTTCTTTATTTAGAAATTCATTATTAAATTAAATATAATATAATATTATAAAATTTAACAATTAAAATTTGAAGTTCCAAGTTTCTAAACAATTAATATCATAGTTAAAGTATGATAATTCTCTTAGGTATAATTTGAAATCAAATATTATAAAATTATAATAAAGAGGTTTATTTTAAGATAATTATAATTAAAACTAAACCATGATTCATGGTTGTAAACTCATCAATCAGATAAGTTTGACTTCTTTTCAATGCTTAATTAAATATTGGATTATTTGGCTATATCCAAGATAAATTAAATAATCACGCACAAAACGACTATCAGAAAAATTGACAAAACAGTGGCAATTACTATTCTTTTGGTTTCATTGTCTTTATTTTACAAGTCTAATAGAATAAGGAATTGAAAGTTACCTAGAAAATTATAGAAAGGTGTTCCTTAAAAAAAATCTGCAATTTCTAATAAGAATAATTCTTTAGTTTAAATAGGTTTGTTTTCTTGTTTGTTAAGATTGTTAATGAAGGCAGGTTGAATTTGATCTGAAATTGGAATTGAATGAACAAATGGTAAGAGAAGCAATAATAACATTAATACTCTAATTATTTATATATAATTCAAACATCCAATTTAAATCGATGAAGGGAATCAAGGTCAGCTTTTTTGAATGCTTTTTATTTTGAATTGTTGATGAAGTCTTGGAATACTTTAGAATCACGAACTTAAGGATCTTTAAAAAGAGCCTACATATATGAGATTAATTTAAAACCTAAAGATAGATATTAAGTTATGATTTTCTGGTTGAAATGAAATCTGGATTTAGATTACCAAAGAGTCTTTTAACTGGGAAAGTGGGTAATTGGGACTTGATCACTTCATCAAGGGTTTAATGGAGCTCAGATAACATGCTATATCTAGTCCAAAATGACCATACAACATTATCAACTTTAAGTCTAATGAGGTATTAGGTATGGGAATTGCCTTTAATTTTGTGGTCGTGTAAAGAAATCCAATCATTGGTGTCAAGTAAACGACGTTTACGCTTCTTTGATTTACCCAAGAATTGCAAGACTGGAGCTTCTGAGGTATGGGGTTATGATTATCCGACCTATTGATAATTTATATTAGTAAATACATGAAGGTGAAATTACATCATAGTTGTAGGTAAGAAGGATTTGCAGTTTTATTTAAAAATAAATATTTATGAAATATAATTTATTGATCATTAGAAATAATCATAAATGAGTATTAGATAGTAATAAGATTATATTATCCATTTATTTAATATACTCTATTACTTAGTTTATTGATAAATTCTAAGAATAAATTTATATGACTGATTGAATTTGTAAATATATTTGTTCTATATTTATAATTTAAGATTAATTCAAATAATATATAATACTTATTTGAAACTTATAATTTATTCTAAATATTTGTTTTTTTATTCTCTAATTTTAACTTTATATATATATTATGACTATCAATGTAAATAGTAAAAATAGATTATGTAATTTTATAATTATAGAATACTTATGTAATTATAAATATATTTTAATAATATGATAATTATATAGATATACAATAATAACTAATCAAATATTCAAATAATCAAATTCATTACATTCTAATTAAACAATCTATCCAAAATTCTAATCAAAGAATTTAGATATTTCCTATTTTGTATTCTAATATACTTAAGTAACTCTCACAAAAGTACTCAAATGACCAAAGAATTATCCAGCTATTTCCTATAATTATTATAATGTAATTAATCCTAATGGTTAAATTGTATTCCATTCCTATAATACTTCTGGTTTTTTGAATTAATTGGATAATTGATACATTAGATTCTGAGAGTATAATAATGATCATACTTCCTTTTTTGATAATATGGATCTCAATTCTCCTAAATTACACTGTATGATAAAAGGATCATTTGGTTACTTATAGAATATCTATTTCTCTAATAATTTAATAGTTTCAGCCAAATCTTCATAATGTTATTTATTTAATGTATTCCAAATCTATTCTTTATTTACTAGAATTTAACTATATTTCATTAATAATTGCACTTCATGAGTATTACCTTTTAGGTTCTTTTTACCAATCTATTTGACCATCTTGGAATTTTCAATTGGTATTTCTAGAAGACATAACAAATTAGAACAATTTATTAAACATAATATAATTGTTTTGTACAATTCATACAGAATCTCTAAATCTAATATATTATCTTACTTGATTATTGTAATGGTTGTAATTTGATGAATAATGCAAAATATTTCTTAAATTCAGGATCCTCAGTTTATTTATATTATTTGATGTATTCAATATTATCATTAAATTTCTTATAATTTATATATAAATACCTTGTATTATTCTTCCTTTTATTTAAGTATAATTTAATGGAGATTTACTTCATTAGATAATAATGTCATCTATTATAATAGTTGTGTATTCTTTTCTTGAAGATGTAACAACACTTCACATAAAGATTTCTTGATCTTTGTTTAATCGAATTAATGAAATATTGGATGTATATTAGCTCTGATTTAAGTAATCCTTTCATTACCCTAAATAATAAATTATTCACAATAACTCCATTAAACAAATGATACATGCTCTATAAAAAATTGATTTAATAAAGCAATAGCATTATTAATTAATGTACGTGATCTATTTTCTTATTCAAAATGTTTATCTAATTCAATCAGCAATTCAATCATTCTTTTTGCTATATTAAAGAAGCGACCAAATTATTTAAATAAAGATGCTAAATAACAATCAGCTTTCAAATTAAGTGTCTTCTCTAAAAAATCACTAAACTCATCCACACGTAGAATTTACATCTATTATATAAATATTATAAATATGATAAAAATATTAATTAGAAAATTAACTAATCTATTTAATTATATTAATCTAGAAGATATCTACAGATATTAAATTATATCATATTAATTATAAAATATTATCTATTTTTAAATACAAATTAAAATAAATAGATATAATATCTTATTATTAATACAAATATATTATTTAAATGAATATCTTAATACAATAATAATGATGATATAATTATAAAAAGTTAAATCATAAATTATCATATAAATTCAATTAATAATTAGAATAATTGAATATTATCAAAACTCTTCCTTTTATTCTCTATAATTAAGTTTATTATAATTTTACAAATTATATGTGGTGCATTAAAAGAGATGATAATTAGCAATTAAATAAGATAATTGACAAGTAATCATAGAAATAATAATGATTTATTATTAATTTATTTAATACATCTATATACAAAACAATATTAATCACTTAATTATTTAATCAATAAATAATGTTATCATGAGAAATTACGCTTATTAATCTTCTTAAGAGATGGAAAATAGGCATTCATTACCCTATTATTAGAAGAGTTCAATTTATTCTTTTTTTGAGATGTACAATATAATCTTTCTTTTTGATTTTATTGTAGTTCTTTCTATTTTTTTATTAATTTAAGCAAATTATTTTGTTTATAATTTGATTTCTCTATTGATTTTGGTGATATTTCTATTTTGTCACATTTAGTTTCATTTGATTCAGTTAATTGAATTAATTCCGAAAATTCCAGTTTTTTTATTGAAGATCTTATATGCCAATCTAAACCATATAATTTACAGCAATCTTTAAGAAATCTATTTCTAGGTGTCAATTACTTTTGAAATATTTCTTTATTTTATGTTAACGAATTATTATTGAGATTGCTTTAATTGATATTACTATCTTTAATTTATTTATCAATTGATAAAAAACTTGGTATGTATTCTGTTCGACTTGATTCTAATCTATTAAGTTTCTTTAATTATTTATTTGTAATCCAATTTTTATTGTTTGTTTATTTGTTTGAAGAGGGAAGAGAACATCGATCACTTTTAAAAGATGATTAAGATTTTTATGGAATTAATAGATGAAGAGTCTCTTGAAATTTCTATTTGATTATATTTGGAGTCATTATTAATTAAGATTTCTTATTTAAACTGATATTTCTATATTATTTCCATTTTTTTGATGGACTAGATGTATTTGATCGATTTTAATAAGTCTATAAATGTCTATAATATTCCATTCTTATAAAATATATAGGATTATAATGTCTATTTAATTTATGCCATTCTTTTTTCTATTTCTTATTAAATATATTTCTATCATAATCTCTAAACCAATATTCCTTAGGTAATGATTATGCTAAAATTAGTTTACCATTAGAATCTATTTTTTTTGGTTTAATTTCAGTAGCTGTTTAAAATAAGTTCTTTTTTGAAAGATGATTAATTGGAGTCTAAAAATTAAAGAAGGAATGACCCTATATTGTATTTAATTTATACATAATTATTTTAATTGAATTTAAATTTATATTTTAATTTGATAAAAGCTTAGAAATTAAAAGTGTTCATCAATATAATTGAAGTGGAAATTACCATTTATATATCTAATTAAAATTTTAATTTTATTAATTATTAATGCTACTTTATGATTCATAAAAATAATCAACAAAAATTTATGTAGTAATTGTCTATCATCACTTATTAATTTATATATATGAATAGATAAATTATTAAATATATGGGATTGTCATAGAGTTTTGAAAAATCAATATATTTCTCTTAGAATAAATTCAAATATGAATTAAAGTTAAGTAAATATTTAAAAAGATTGTTCAATAATACATCATAGTTATTAAGAGAATACTAATTAGAAGTATTATAATAGATGAATTCAATTCTTAATTTTATAAGCTCAAATATAGAGTAAAAATATGATTATTATAGTAAACAAATTTTTAAGAAGAGGTATATATATATGGTTATGGATTTAAATAAAGTGTATAAAGACACAGTAAAATATTAATATCAAATGTTTAGTTGTATATAATATTTTTTTAATATTAGAGATTTCATAAAACATCAATATTAATTAATTAAAAAATCTTGATTTTAAAGACATAATTTACTTAATATTAATTATGATAACAATATCATATAATTCAAGGTATTTTTAAATTAAAAATGATTGATAAAATTTATTTAATGAGTTTGTCTGATGAAAGAATTATTGTTCTTTATAATAAAAACATTAATAAATACTTATTAAGTAAAAGCTGAGGGAAAATAAGATAATAGTATTAAATATTATTGAATGGATTGAATATATAATTATGATGAGGAATATCATGAAATTTATATATTGAGGATATAGAAAAAAATAAAGAGTAACAATCATTAATTGATAGATTTAATTATGATTCATGTAATTTATTATTGAATCATCTCATTTTTAAAAACCTGAAAATATATAATAATTATTTATATTGTTTATTCAGTAATATAAGCTTTTAAGGTTGTAATTTATAATGATAAAATATAAAGTTGAATCTAATAATGAGAACTTGGTTTGTTTAATTATTTTATGCAATAGAATCTGAATGAAATGAACCTAATATTTCATTAAATGAAGACATTATGAATAATATCAATTGGCATTATATAATCATTAGACTTATGATGTTATTTAAAATATATATTTACAATAGAAAATATTATTAAAAATGGGACTGTGTCTCTCAAAGTAGGAAGCAGAACATCACACAACCTTATCATAAGAAAAATTCTAATAAGATGATGAACTTGATGGGATCCAGGTTGAACAGATTAGATTAAGTGATGAGGAGAAAGTATCACTTAAGGATTTTGAGTTTCTTAAAGTATGAATTCGCTAAATAAGGTTCTTGGAAGAGGTGGTTATGGGAAGGTGGTCTTAGTAAATCATAAGAGTTAATCAAAATTATATGCTATGAAAATTTTAAGAAAAGATCTTATACAATAAATGAATTCTCGAATCTATATGGAAACAGAAAGAAATATCTTAGCTTTAGTTAAGTGTCCTTTTATTGTGAATTTATATTATGCATTCTAAACAAAACAGAAATTGTATTTTGTTATAGATTTCATGATTGGAGGTACTGTTTATAATCTTATTTAAAAGGAGAGTTATTTTACCATTTGAAGAGAATTGGCAAAATGGAAGAATCTTGGGCTAAATTCTATTGTGCTGAAATAATTCTGGCTATTGAATATCTTCATAGTCAAAATATTATTTATAGAGATTTAAAGCCTGAAAACATATTATTAGATTAAGATGGTCATATTAAAATAACAGATTTTGGTCTTTGTAAAGTTGATATTAAAGAGGGAGATTTCACAACTACTATTTGTGGAACTTATGATTACATGGCTCCAGAAATCTATTTAAAAAAAGTAAATTAATTCTATATCTTAAATATATTAGGGTCATAATCAAAGTGCTGATTGGTATTCTTTAGGAATACTTTTGTATGTAATGTTGTAAGGTATTCCACCTTTCTATTCCCAGAATAAAAGATAAATGATTCGTAGTAGATTGGAGAGACAAATTGAAATCAAAACTCCTATTTCAGAAGAAGCAACAGATCTTATTAAATAATTATTAAAGAATAATGTAATTATTTTATTATATATATATATATAAGCCTAAAGATAGATTAGGATCAGATGGATCTAATGAAGTTAAATTACACCCATTTTTCAATGGTATAGATTGGAATGATGTTATGGATAAAAAGGTTGCACCTCCTTTCAAACCTAAATTATTTGGAGATAGAGATCTCAGAAATTTTGACGTTGTATCATTTATTCAATTTATGAATTTTATATCTAGACATTTACACAAGAAGTAGTATAAGATACACCTATGCAATCTATGGCTCAAGAAGAGAATTATGATAAGTTTTCTTATTAAGAACCAGAATTGTTTGTGACTATGAATGAAGGTTTCTCACTTAATAAATGATAATAAATATTGTATATTTCAATAAGAAATAATTTGTATAATTAATTATACAATATCAATTATATGATTTAAGTTTATATCATTTATTTATTAGTTTTAGAATAGTTATTTTTTTAATAAAACAAGTATTATTTATATTTCTTTGATGATCATTTTCAATATTAATATTTATTATATTATTTTTTTAATTTATTTAGAATATCTTCAAAATAAATTAATGATAATATGAATATAAATTAATAATTTTATTAATAAATAATTCAATTTCTAATTATGTAATCATATGTATAAAAATATAATTATCAATGTTTTTACTTTGTAAAAGCTGCAATAATTTCTTTTAATATTTAAATTTTAGCATTTTAAGGTAATGATTTAATTTATAAATCATCCCCTAATTCTAATTTTTATAAAGATTCCAAAAAAAAGTCTTCTATTTAAGTTCTTTGATCTAAAATAAGTTAAGCTAATTCTTTCATTTAATTAATTTCTTTTTATTTAATTATTAATTATTCTTAAAATTATTAATGTTTTTTTAACAAGTTTTCTTCAAATTTTGCATTTTAATCTTACAATTATTGTAATTAAATTTTAAGCATTTTATTTTCATCTTTAAGTTTATTAATTTCTTTTTCAGTTTACAATTTTTAGACAACAGTAATTTAATCATTAGAATGTTTTCTATTAGATTATTACATTTATGATTATAAATCCTCTTTTTATTTTGTTATTTATTTTAATTCTTATTGTAATTTAATTATCTAATTATCTTTAAGTTATAATACTATATCATGTTCTTCTTATATTTCTATATAATTAATAATTAATATTACTATGTTTAGTTATTTAAAATCTCTCATCCATTTAGACAATTTCAGATTCATAATCTGATTAGATTTTATCAATCTAAGATCTTAGATCTGCAATTTATTTTAGATAATTATTTTTTTCAATCTACCATTATTCTTAAGGTTATGCTTAAATCATTTATAAGTCCTTATTAACAAGTGTCAAATTAGAGACTATTTTATCAACAAAATCACATTGTAATTAAAGAGCCTATTCGATTTCTTCATATTGATGTTATTACTATGTCTAATTAATTGATTAATTATTCATTTTATAAAATTCAAACTCTATGTACTATATTCCCAATTTGTCAATTTAGTTACAGAAAAACGACAATATTATTGAAGATTTTGTTTCCATCCATTGCTGAAAGGGGATCCCAATTATTATGGAAAATCTTTAAGATATGAAATCCTCTTCCAACTCTTATATTCCCAAGTTGTCATATTCTTATAACTCAACAAAGAATGGAATAAAAATAAACTGAGAACCATTAATCCCATTGATATTGATATCACTATACTGATCACTACTAATATTGAAAACCATTTATTATATGAAGAGAAATCAATATATGGAAAAGTCTACTTATGATAAATAATATTTACTTCTCTCATTACATATATTATTTCTTATATTTAGAAAAATAGAAACCAATAAAATACACATCTATTCCTTTCACCAATACAATTATTTGTCTATTAAATATATTATTTATATTAATAATACCCATGGACAATGATGATCATATAATGCTATACATCTATTACATTTTCTACAATGTTTAGAACGAATGATTTAATCTTGATTACATATTGGACAATATCTCTTTTCTATAAACATACTATTTCCATGATGTACACTTTAATCAATATTTTTATCATTATTAACAGATTTAGGTGATTATTGATGTTCAATTTATTCATTTTAATCAATATTGATTTCTTATTAAAAATTACATTAAGGATCTGTTTATGTATTTGCATTATTATTATTATTATTGATGTCAGGTTTTGTACTTCCTTAAGAAAACACTTAAGATTTACGTGCATTATTTGAATGAGGACTTTACATTTTAGAAGGAGTATTTGATTTTTCTGGTGTTTTCTCATTAGATTAAGCAATATTATCAAGATTTTATATTTCATTATATGATTGTTAATTTTATTCATCCATTGATGCTTCACATTCCATTTCAAATTCATCTTTATTCCTATAATATATAAATTTTATATACTTTGGATTATCTTTAGCTTATTCAATAATTTTCAAATCTATATGTTCTTCTTGCACTTGCTCTTTTGTTCTCTATTGAGAATTACCTGGAAATGGATGAAATGATTATTTCTTTTTTTAATATGGATTTGAACTATCTGTATATTAATAATCATTAATTGTAACAAATCCTGGCTTATCATATCATTATTATTTACATCCTTGAATGCAGTGAATCCATAGAAAATTATAGTAAATATTATCATCAAATACAAATAATAAGTACCTAAATTCTAACTTTCAAATAATTTATCATCAACAATACTAAAAATGCTTAGTAAATAGATTTGCATAAATCCATAAAATAATGGTGCTCAAAGATTCAATTAAATAATACCTAATTTAACCATCAATCTAATTTAATATTAATTAATATATAATAACATTTATATTATATTTTCTATTTATTTAATTAAAATATAATAATTATTATTATTATTATTAAATAAATAAATTACATAAATAGAAAATAATAATAAAGGTTGTTAAACTAAAAAGTCTTAACAAATTATCCATCTTAAATGTTTTAATAATTCATTACTTTAAAAAGTATAATATAATTAATAACAATATTTCTTAATCATTATATTTAAATTATATTTTCATTTTTAATCCTTAAGTTATGTTTCAGTTTTACATTTTTAATATTTATTAATATTAGCATATATTTTAATATTTAATTTTGATTCATTTATTGAATCATTTTATAAGTGATTTATTGATTCTTTATGTGCAATAGCAATTAAATTACTTTCTGGATGAATCAATTATGAGAATGTATCATTAACAGGTGTCAAATGAATTTTCATCATCAAATTCATTTATTCTATACTTTTTCTTAATTTTATATTATCCAATTTAACTTATTGTACAGACTTCAATATATTATGATATTTATTCATTTATTTATGTTAAAATTACAAATCCTATGTTTTATATTAATAAATCATACCAGAAATCCAATTTTCTATTGAGATTTTAATAATTGATTCTCTTATTTTAATTCTTCTATTGTTTATTCCATTTATTTCATTTATTGTATAAGATAGTAAACATAAGATGTTTCTGATTATGTTTATTATGGTTTATTTGTTAGTTATTTAGAAAAAGAAAGAGATGTTGATAAATGATTAGGTGATCCATGTTATTCCAGTTATTTTCTATGGGATTTAATAGGAGATGGTTCTTATTTGAAAAAGGTATTTTGAAAATGATGTACACTCTTAGTTTGATTTAATAAGTAGGGTCTTTGATCACTCATATATTTTGTAAATAAATTTATTATATAATTATACTCTCAATTTTATTAAAGTAGTAAAACAAAAAATTTAAAAAAATTGTAAATTCAAAATTGATCTAAATCCAATACCAAAAGACTTGATTTAACAATTGGATCAATTTAGTTTTCTAATAATTCATCAACACTTTCTATTGGTTCCTCATAATGGATGAGAACCAATGTTCGAAAACCTCTAAATTATTGCTTTAAGGATTTTTTATGGGGGAACTTATTGCATCGATTGCCTGGATATTGTAGATTGGATTTACATTAATTTCTGAATGAGAAGTTTAAGTTTTTACATACACCACAAATCCAATCACCAACTCTTTATCTTCTTTTTACTATGTAGGGAGAACTATTCATATATTTTATTATTTGAAATTCAAAAATTAATAACGATATATATATGAAATTAGAATATTTATACAGTTCTTATTTTAATATTTATAATATATATATATATAACATTTATGTCTTTTACTAATTGTAAATAATTTGAATATGATGTAATTAATTATAATGAATTAATAATAATCTCAAAGTTCAACCCATAGGCGAAATAATTCAGATTTAAGTATTGATGCCTAACCTGTAGAATCTGAATCAATTATGAATTTATAAATAGCCTATAGTTGGCTTACCTTAGTAAGAGCTATTCTAATTAGGCTCTTTTGATAGTTATATTGTTTAATTGTTTCTTGATATTGTTACTTTCATCCTTTGCATTTAATTTGAGCTTCAGGATTCCAATTCTGTTTATTAGCATAGGACACTTATTATATTTGATAAAGATTTGCATTAGTTATAATAAAATGTACAATAAATTATAGTTATAATAAGAGCAAAAAGTAATTAGGAATGTTGTATCGAGTTGATGTGGGGTGTTGGATTAATTTCTTATTATGTATGTTTGATTAATAAGATCAGAGTTGTTTAATATATTTTATTGATAACAATGACTTTTAAATGTAATACTTGGCAATATTTTTGGTATTTATGACAATTATATGGATGATTTAATGTATCTTTTAAATATATAGACATAACACTAATGATTATTAATAGAAATTAGTATCAATATAAATTAAATTAGATTGTAATAATGATTAGATTTTGTTTTGTCACATAATTGATGTTCATTAATTTGAAAGTGATTAATTGGTTACCTGTTAGATGGATATATACTTTTTCAATATTTTGGTTATTCTTACTAATAATAATATTGATGTAATTAGTATCTTTATTTAAATTGTCAATCATAATAAATCAATATTTCAATTGTAATATTGATTAAAGACAATTATTGATGATTAAAATAATTGGTATAATATGGACCAATTTAATTATTTTTGGTTTTTGTGGTGTTCCTACATATGCACTATTGAAATTGAGTTTTTATTTAGAATAAAATATAGAACATAATTATGTCTTTGAAATAATAACTAGTGTATTCTATACACTAATATTTTTGGTGTATACTATATATCATAAAGATTTATTATCAACATTCATTTTTACAATTTTAAAGTTACAAACTTAATAGGAAATAGTAAGAGAACAAGAAATTATTAGTTTTCCAAGTTCAAGAAATCAAAAGAAATTTGTTTATTAATTTAGGGATAACATTTTAAATGATTTTCCAAAATAATTAATTAAGATTTCTAGTACTTATTATCTCCCAGAAGATTAAAGAAATTAAACTGAAATTAATTCAGCTGGTGGTATTTATAATAAATCTCCAACTCTTACTGAAGTAGTTGATGGATCAATGAAACAATGTTTTAATTGTTTTCAATAATAAAGTAATACAGTATATATTCCATGTGGTCATGGAGGAGTATGTTCAAAATGTGCATTTGATTGGTTCAAAGAAAGAAAGGAATGTTTGATATGTAGAAGTGTAAAATAATATATATTAATAATAAATTAGTAAATATAGGCTATCTTGAAAATCGTTTAAGCAGATGATCAAAGAGTCAAAGTAATAGATATAATTGCATTAAATTGATATTATTACTTAATATATAAATTTTATAAAACAATTCAATCTTCTTACAATAGTTTTATATTTCTTAATATAATATCTGTACATTCTTAAGTCTATTAATAATTATATTAATAAAGAGATATTGTTTTATCTGATATATGGTAAAATAAATTATGTATTATTAAAATAAAAAATGGAAATTATTGATTAAGAGTCTCGCATCCTAAGTTAAAGAATATTAAATGAATTTCATATAAATGAAATACGAAACAATTTCATTAGTATTCTAGGAATAAATAAAACTCATTTTGGGTAATACCTCTAAAAACTATCTAAAGAATCGTTGATTTTACCAATCTTATATATACATTGGCAGAGAATAATCAAGTCTCATAATCTACTATCCAAGAATGTTTTAACATATTCGATGAAAATAAGGATGGTAAATTAGATTGGAATGAATATTTGAAGTTGTTTGTAGAATACATTAAGAAAGTGTAATGTCTAACATATCTGAAATCATTATCTTCTTTAGAAGAATAGAGCTAGTAATTCATTTCAATTAATAATCTCTAGATATCTCTAATAATTATAAATAGCCTTTTTAGCCTCTCCATTCAAATAATTATTTACCACTTAAAATTTATAATCAGTTGAATAGACTTTAGCATCCTTTGAAAATAGATCCTCTAATAAACATATCAAAAAATACTATTTCATTAGTAGAGATTCTTTTGAACCCTCATTAAATCAAATTCATTAAGATCTAATTATTTTTTAAGACTTTAATATTTTACCAGCATAAATTATTTAAGTTCTCAAAAGTGTATTATTATAAAGATTACCCCACGTAAAAATTAAAAAAATTGAATATGTCAAATAATTAATAGCCTAAATCATTAATAATGGATATTGTGATCATCTATTCAAATTACTCTTAATTGATGAAGATAAAGATTAATATTTAATAGATGAAAAAGATTAACATTAAATTTTAGGATTATAAGCACTTACATTAATTGCAGCCACTATACACATCTATGAAATCCAAATACTCATCCCTATTTAAAGTATCTTATTTGTAGATACTATATTAAATATCATCTCTGAAACACAAAATGATCTCATTATTGAATAAGGATATATATTACTTGGACATCTAATATTATATGATAAAACCTATTAACAAATATTATTTACTAAAAGACAAGCACTTCTTGATGTTTAACTTATTGATGATGAAAAGATATTCTATCATAGCTGGTTTATTGGATGTCTATTCTCTAGATATGAAAATCATTAAGCCACTAAATTTATGACATTAATGAATACCTTACCAGATAACTTACTATGGCTCTAGATTATTATTAATTACTATTAATAATATGGATTAATATAATCTATTGAAAAAAATTAAATCAGAATTCAAATTCAAATTAATATGCTCATTATTATTTAACCCTTATTGGCCACATAAATACATTAAGATGTTCTTATAGCATTATTATCATAATTATAAAATTAAGCTACAGATAATAGATTTAAATTATAAATCTTAACTACTCTAAAAAAGATCTTTAAATTGCCTTATCAATTAAATTATCAAAATTTTACTGCCTAAAATATCCTATTATCCAATAATCTATTAAATATATTAATGTAACTAACTGCAGATCCTAATTCATAACTTAGTTACAAAGCTAAAAAATTATTCTTTAAGACTCTATGTCTTGAGAATTCTGGAATACTCTTAAAATACTTATAAGAATCTAATAATTTATAGTCATTCTTATATGTTCTTGAAAGTCATTTTGTATAAAATGTTGATGCCAACTTTTAGAAATACTTTAAATATAAAATACTTACAATCTTAAGATTAATGAGTTAAGATAGTAACACATTCTAAATCCTATCTACAGATTAATGGTTCTTTAAATTACTCATTAAAGCGCTTAATGATAATAATCAAATCTTTACTTCAAATAATTAAATTATGATTAATTGTTAATATGATTATCTTGTAATTAATGAAATAACTGAATATTGCATTACATTTAATCTTCATTTTTAACCAATGTTTAGATAAAAACCTTAATTATCCTATCAAGCTATAGAGATGATTTATAAAATACTTCCAAATTAATAAGCTATTAATGAAATTAAATAATATTTTGTTAAGCTTTTAGAGAATATTGATAAATATCAACCATTAATATTAAAAAAATACTTGAAACCTTTATACTAATCAGTTTGTGAAATAGTAACTTAACTTAATAATTTGATTATTTCATTAAATGATTTAATGAAAAATAATTAAGTTTTTCACAATAATTTTATTTCATTATTAAAATTCTTAATAAATGAACTTTCTGTATTTTAAGACTATTTAGTAAGTAAAAAGGAATTAATTGATGATACCTTATTAATCATTGGTACTGAAGCTACTTATGATGGATGTGTTGTAACAACTGTATATTTAAATACATATTAAAACTCATCAAAATGCAAGATAGTATTGAAACCTTAACTCACTTTATTAGAATTTGAAAAGCATGTAGAATAAGGTTTATAAACATCAGGACCACTTTTATACTTAGTAATCAATTAGAATCATCCTAATAAAATACCTTATGATGATTTTTCAATAATAGATGAATTATGTTTTAGAAAATTCAAAGAGTTAGCAGATTAATTTATAGAAACTTAATTTGGAAGTATCAAAGTATCTTAAGAGGTTATTGCTGTTGAACTTTATAGATTAAAGATGGAAGATTATTCAATGAAGAAGATTTATGAGATATTGAACAAAGGTTCATCTTATATATAATTCAAATAAATTCAAGATAATCAAATGTTATGGTTTTTGGAGAATAGTTCTGGTATTTATTCAAAATAATTCAATAGACACCAAAGATAAAGGTTAGTAATTATAATAAATATTTTAATTAACTAAATTACCCTATACATATATAGAGAATCTATTTGATGTATTTTTAATCCTAATATAATTACTAGTCTATTAATCAATTTTTTGATAAAAATAATCTATAATAGTAATATAGACAAATATTACAAGATGATTTTAAAGATTACTTAAAAGATATGAAGATTCCACACTTGTTAGGAGTTAAAATTGCTTCATTTTTATCAAGGAATGGATTAAAAAACCCTGTTGATTTTTAGGATTTTATTTGTTTTATTTCTCTATTTTATTAACAGAGGTAATTTATTTGATTTATAAAAAATTTAAGTTTTAGCGAAACAATTATTATGAAGTTCACTTATCTTTTATATGCAAACAAAGAGGGTAAATTTGGAAAAGATTAATTGTGTGAATATTTGTAAACAATTTTTGTAATTAATATATATATATATAAATTTAGGATATTTAAAACTAAGTTATAAATGAATAATAAATTAATGAATGGGGTTCAAATTTATTTTTGAAAATTGATTAAAATCAAGATGGTTATATTTCATTTTATGAATATCATGCTTTATTAAAAGAAGAATAATATCGAGCAAAACTCTTAGATCCAATTTGTGCATTATTTACAAATTTGCCATTTCAGACTACTTCTAATCGCTTCATTTTTGGAACACCTTTAAAATTATTTAGAAGTTGAAAAATAATATATTTTTTTTCATTAACATTTTGAAATTATTATTATTCTATATTAAATCATTACTTATATTAGATATAATATAGTATTTGAAATCAACATCATAAATAGAATCACAATAGAATACACAAATATATTTAATCAATAATTATATTCTAATAAATAATTTAGATATTTCAAATCAAATAATAAACTAATATTTACACATATATAAATATATATATTATCCATATCTCTTACTTTTTTATATTCCTCTAATAAATTACATTAAATAAATATTTAAGATCTTTAGATCTAAAAATAAAATAAATCTAGGATAAGTATCAATTCTCAATCATTCATAAATGATATCATTATTTTAATGATATTTCATATATTCTAATATAGCATTTTTACATGATTGCATATAAATTATTATAAATATTAAATAATTTTACTTTGTGATAATAATAACATGTCTTCTGATAAGAGCAATAGAATGATAATATATTTATGGTATTGAAATATAAAATAGAAAAAAGATACATAGATATTAGGTTTAAGGCATATTTAATATAACTTTTGTTACTGGAAAAAAGAGTTAGTATTTAAAAGATAATATAGAAGATAGTTTAGTAATAGGTTTATGAGAATTAGATGATTAGATCAATTATTAAATTAATTTAATGTATTCTATGATGCCATTATCCTTATCCATTCTCAATTATAGTTTAAATCAACTCTATTATAAAAACTCATTAAAAGTAGCTAAAAATTTAAATTTATTCAAATCCTTTATTAATAAAATGAAATAAAATTCCCAATAAACTAGAACCTATTAAAAAGTTTCAAACATTAAAAAAAAGACTCTTATGAATATGGTATTCCTTTTGGGATTTAAAATAAAACATGTAATTTCTACTCTCTATCCATATCGTTAGGCAGCCAAGCAATTAAATATTAAATATGCGGCAGCCAAAACTATCATAGTATGTCATAGAAACAATGTTATAAAACAAAAACTAGAGTTTAAATCCTCTTCAGAATGCAAGATTGTTTCTATAAATTCAAAAAAGTGCAAGATTACTATAATAACAAGGGTTGGAGGAGATGCAGTCTCTTAGATCTCATTTGAATATTCCTAGAAATAAGGAGCATGAGATACATATAATAAATATTATATATTACTATCCTGTAGCGTAAGAGCAATTCAAAGGAAATTTCTTCAACATGTCAGAGTATGATAAATAAATCAAAGAAAAAATTTGATAAATCTCATGCATAATTGAGAATATCATTCTTGTTAAGCTTTAAATGATTTAAAACTTAAGTATTACCCATACACACAAGTAATGAAAAATGTATTCATTAAATATATTGCTTATATTACTATTTTTTAAAAATATTATTCAATAAATGAAATTTAATTTCTTTTACACAAAAGAAGACTTTAAAAATAAAAGCAATAAAGAAATGTGAATATTAAAGTAGATGATGTTTTCTTATACCTCAACAGAATTCTATCTTAATAAATCATTCATAATTTATCAGTAATATTTACTAAATTTTTATTTATAATATTAATCACTCAAACTTGATTATAATGTCTGATGTTATGAGAATTCTCAATTCATCCAATGTAAAATAGACTATACTTTAATATAATTAATTGAAAATATACTTACTCATTAGTTATAAATTTATAAAAATTTATACAAATCTAATACCTCTAATTATATATTAATAATTTATGTAATGTTTATGAAAAAGATTCTTAAACATATTTTAGATCAAATTAGAGAATTAGTAATTATTCTTCCAATAATTTACATAATTATTTAATTATTTGTTATCAAAAATTTATATAATTAATTTATTTAATATTTAATCAATATTTTATAGTTCAATCTTTGCAACACAAATTATATTGTTGTTTTATTTATGTAATAATAAAATAGTAAAAATAAGACACAATTAAAGATAAAATTAAATCATAAATCAAATAAATATAATATGAATTTTAGATAATTAATAAGGGAGAATATCAACTTAAAATAATAGAATTACTACATTCATTGTTATATTAAGTTATTATTAAATAATTATTAATTTATTATTAACATATTTTAAATCTTGATTTAATTAATGATTGTAAAAGTAATAAAAAATAAAAAACATTCTAAAATTTGATTAATATCTAGAACAATAATTAAATAAATTTTATTAAAGTATTCTCTTTTTTACATTTCCTAAATATTTTCTTTTATTTATTAATAACTTTCACTATTTAATCCAATTTTTATGTGTATCAATATCAAGTAATTAAATTTGATTTATATTATTGTTATCAAAACTTTATTTTATATAGTAATTGATAATATTATATTATACATTACTCTTTGATTTACAATAAAATAACAGAATTATAGAATAAGATTTCAATTCAATTGATCTAATTATCTTATTAGATGGATTGATACTCTTACTTTATTTATATTTAGTTGACTTTGTATTCTGATTTTATAGATGATAATGAGATATTCAAAATTCAAATTGATAAAATAATATAATTAAAAATGGTTCATTTCAATCCTGGATCCATCTATTATTTTGATTTAGACTTGCCTGTAGAACAAAGATACTCATCACTTTTTCCAAAATATGCCCCTTTAATTAGAAAATACTGTAAAATTTGGTTGGAAACAAATAATCCTTCTTAGGAACATCTAAATGATCTAAAAGTATTAAACTTTAAATGACTATTAGCAACTATTTGAGAATCATCCAGATAAGGAAATGCTTGAATTTGTTAAATATTTGGCTAAAGAATGTGGAATTGATGAGAGGTAATGATACAATATTATAAGGTAAGCATAATTTTGTACATACAATTTATGTATGATTTTGGATTTGATGATTCTTTATCAATGGGATGCACAAGTATATTGATTAATCAGGAGAAACCATATATTGTGAGGAATCTAGATTGGGATTTCAATGATGTCATAAGGGCTTTAACAATAAATGCTATTTATATTAAAAATAAATAAATAGTATCCATTCATTTAGCAATAGTATCTTAATTATTGATTCCTCACACTATGTAATGAAGTAGTAATAATAAATTAGTAAGAACCAATCATTTGCTATCAGTTTAAATTTCTTGTGGCCTCAATATAAAGTGGAATAATAATGGTAAAGTGTTCTATAAAATGTCAATATACCTAGTATCGGAAGATTGATTTATCGATTATCAGTTTCTAATTATAAATATGAAGATTTGACAAATGTGCTAAAAGATATACTAGTATAGCATCATGGTTTATTGAATATTGTTGGAAACAAAAAAAATTAATGTGCAATATTTTATATTAATGATTGGTTTAACACAAAAAAATATCAATTTTGTTAGGAAATCTAAAATAATGAAGATTATCTTGTATCTACAAATGGAGATTATTTTTAATTTAGTATTGAGAGATATAAAGCTGCTTAATAAAACTTAAAAAAATAATAAGATTTTAGTAATCCTATAAAAATTGTAGAGAATGTTGCTTTTCAGTATCCTAATTATAATGAAACAACCATTTTAACAACAATCTTAGATTGCCAGTTAAAGTTACCATTTGATGTTTATATTAAATGAATTATAATTATAATAATATAAAAGTTAATTCTAATATATATATATATTTAAAGATAGATTACTTATCTAATTAAAGAAGACATATTATAATTTGTAAAGAATAAGAAATCTCTATTAGAATTCAATCCATATCTAATTAAAATGAAATTAAAAGGAAGTAGAAAGATCATTAGAAAATAATAATTCATTAACCAATTATTTATATAGAAGTGTGAATTGCATTATGGATTATATATATGTACATCATGATCATTTATGCTTAATATTGTTAATAACAATCATAAATTCAAATATATGAATAAATCACTATTTATATATGTTTGTAAAGATATTTGAAAGAAGAAATCATTATAATAATTCTTTTTGACTTTACTTGAATTGTTGCATATAATTGAAAATTAATTAATACTATTTTTGAGAAATAAATTCGATTTACTAATATATATTAACTGAATAATAATTAAATTTATTTAATTATAAAATTATTCAGAAGAATGATAGGATTAATAGTAATTTGATTTTTAATAATCATAAAAATTAGTTGATTAAAAATAATCAAAAAGAATATCTAATTATTAGTTTTAATCCCTAAAAATTATAGAATATGTAGATAAAAATAATAATGAGTATTTAAAGTTATTCAGTATAAAATTATATTCAAATAATTTGACCGATGATTATTGAAATAAAAAATAGCAAATAATATTAGCAAGGACGAAATAAAATAGAAAAGGGAAAAATAAAATAGAATTGATTAATTGATCTTAATTAAGAAATTCATAACTATTGAATATGAATTTCAATATATATTTGCTTTAAATTTGTCAATTTAAATTATTGATACAAATAAAGTTGAAAATGTAGTTGAAGATTTCATAATTTAAACTACATTTTCAATTTTAGTATTTCTTTGTAGTTCCATTTATCTCCAAATATACATTTATATAAAATACTTAATTATTAATTAAAAATTTTCTAATTTATTATAATTAATAATTCAAATATTATTGATAGCAACTTTACACAATAAAATAAAGCTTTAAAAGTAAGAAATATATACCAAGACATCAATAATTGCTCTAAAGTAAGAATATTTAGTACTAATTAATCATACATGAATAAAGATAAAACAATTATGTAACAATATAAGGTTAATTGTTTAGAATTATTAATTTTATTTTGTACAGATTTAATATAAGTTCTATATCATAAATTATTCAAAGAAAATGACTCATCTTTTTAAAATCAAAAATAATGAAAAATAAATTAGATGAATTCATTCAACATTAATAATAAAATATTAAATTATTCATTTATAATTAAAAGAATTAGACTTTTAAACTTTCATTTCATTTCCAATATGTCAAGTTAATCTAGGATTTTAATAATTAATCAGATTAAGAGTAAATAATCAAAATATTTATCTAGCACCATCAATCAGTCAAATCATAATAAAATAGATTGCTTAATTTTCCTATTATGGTATAAATTAAATTATTTCTACATATCAAATTAACAGATAGATTTAAATTGATTTTTGTAATAAATTCTTCTTTTTTATATTATTTATATAAATAAATTATGTATTAGAAATAAAAAATAAGATTCTATAACAATAAAATTCATTGTTTATATGTAAATATAAAATCTTGAAATCATGGATCCTTGGATTTAAAATAACAATTTAATAATCCTCCCTTACTGCATACAACCTTTACTAGTGATTTAGATAATCCAATTAATTTGTACTGGCATCTCTTTGATTCGGGAAGACAGGAAGTTTTTTTTTGAATAATATTCTTTCTGTATCTAAAAATTATATTCTTAGCAGTAGCATAGTTGATGGTGAGATGAAGTGAGGCCTATAATAAAAATTAATAAAAACCTATTTAATTTTCCAATCCTTTTAAAACACTAATTCAATTAATAGCTTTTTCTTTTCTAAAGGCACTTTCTTATAGGGACGTAACTTAAAAGTGCATTATTCACTTTAATTCATTAAAGATTTCCTAATTTAAATATAATTAAAATTATTAGAAAATGTTTGGCTTATGTTAATTTATAAATTAAGATTTTATTTTAATTATTTTTACTTTTGATTAATATCTAATAATTTAGATATATATAAATGTTTTTCTTTGCTAAAGGATATATTAAATTTCTTATTTGGATTAAAGTATTAATAAGTAATTTTAAAGAAAGTAATACAGTTAGTATAAAATACCCAAATAAATACCTCCTCTCTTGATAATCTTTATTATACATTAAACTAATATTTGCATCAATATCCTATTAAAATTCAAACTTAACTCAATTTTTGAAGTTAATAATAACTATAAAGCTTTTAGAATGTAATATGATTACTATAGAATAAATATATTCTTAAAATATTTAAACTTTAGTTTTATTACTTAATTTCAAAAATGAAAAAAAACAAATTAATTTAAGATTTACTCAAAATAGCAATTTAACTAAAAAAATAAAACTTTTTTGTTTTTCACCAAGATTTAAGTTCAAATTATAAAAACTAAATTTTATATTGAATTTTTATTAGCATCTCAAATTTAAAATATAGTATTTGAATTAAATAAATCCTATTTGATAATTCTTTAGAATGTATTCTAATATTCTTAATAAATTATAAGTGATGTTAAAATTATAATTTATATAAATTATCATTTCTCTTGTTTTTAATAAAAACAAAGACATAGAATTAAAATTGACTTTTTAAATGAAAAATAAAACATTACCATTTGATTTATCATTCTTTTAATTTTGACAATATTTTTAAATTCTCATATTTTGTTTTGAATTAAGAATAAAGCATACCAAAAATATTATATTTAATTTTTATACACATATAGTTATATACTCCGTTCAACTATTAATATATAAATATAATGTAAGAGATTAGATAAAAAGATTATAGCTCACATTTAATATAATTAAACTTAGAAATTAATTTCATATTCAAATTTAATTCACAATGAATTGAGAAATTGTGATGAAAATTTATAATTAATTTTATTCACAAAGAATATCGAGAAACATACTGACAATCATTATAAAACTTTACATTAAATAAAAATAATAATCTAGATAGATGGATTAAACATTAGAGTGATATATGTTTTATATTTTAGAGGGAAATTAAATTATATATAAGAAGGAATGCGAAGAGAGATAGTTTAGAAAATGGAAAGCTTAAAATTTAATGCATAACAGCCTTTCTTTTGATTAAAAAAAATAATTTCTATGTGATAGTATTAACATTGTTTGCATACAATTTGTTTGAGGTTATATAATATTTATTTTGAAAAAACTATATTGATTTAATTTCTGATTGCATGTATAAAGTTTATGGGAAGATAGTTTAAGAAGATAAATTTTATAATAACAATATTATAATCTTCTATATGGATGTTTATATTATTGATTCTTTGATTTTCTCTGAATTTTCTTTTAAGGAACTAGATCAATATCGATAATTAAATAACATATTTTTTCAGCAATGTAAATCTAAAGTAATTAATAATTTTTGACTAGAAGAAGGAATATAATTTCAACATATGTCAATTATTATTAATGTTTCTAAATTAAAAATAAGGTAAGCCTAATATAAAGCTCTATATTATGAAGGTAGAAAAATGATTTTGTAAATGATGTTTTTGAGAATGTTTAAAATTGGTTAGGGAATGGAGAAGATTTTAGAGTAAATTATTGAAATATGGGGTTGAAGTTTTAATTTAACATAAATAATTTTAGTTTGATTTTAATTTTGAATCTAATAATGCTATTTTTTGATATTAATATTATATATTTGATTTTATATTAATAGTTATTAACAATCATAAGTTAATGTATTATAACACCATAAGGTTTTCAAGTTACATCATAATAGATATGGATTGCATCTAATTAGGATGTGTAAAATAGAAATTAAAGATTTGGAATTTAGTTTGTCATTTTGTAGTATTAAATGTGATTTTGAGTCTTGATTTTATGTAATATTTAAAAAAATAGATATGATTACTTCTGAGATTAGTGCTGCATCCAACTAAATAAAAAGTAGAGCTGATATAGAAGGCATTTATGAGGTTTATTCTAATTTATTAACAAAAAAGTGTAAATATGTTTGGACTGCTGAAGATGTTGAGAAATTGAACGAACAGTACGATTGTCAAATGGGTAACTGGAAATTGATAAGTAAATATTTAAATGGACCAAATCCATTAGAGTGTATGATGAAATGGCAATCATTGCATCCAGATAATGTAATATTTTAATAATATTTAAGCCACTTTCGAGACAATTGTGGTCCTAAGAGGAGGATGAATAATTAAAGGAATTAGTGTAGAAGTATGGAAAAAAATGGAGTAAGATATGTACAGTTATGAATTGGAGAACTGGAAAATAAGTTCGAGAACGATATCTAAATTAACTATAAGGACATATAAATAATGAGAAATGGACTGAAGAGGAGGATAAAATAATTTTAAAACTATATAAAAGGTTTGGAACCAAGTGGAGCTATATCTCGACTTTTTTAAAAGGTCGTCCTGTAATATCCTATACTTATTATTTAGGAAAATATGGTAAAGAATAGATTTTATGCCAATTTAAAAAGAAGGTATCAATCAGATCTTGAAGAATCTGATGATGATGAATAATAGATAGATTCTTAAGATTCATTAAATATTACAAAATATAAAAAGAAAAAAAAAAATAAATAATATAAATTTATTAATAGCTCTATTAAGATAAAGAAATCCTAATTAAAAACAGTGAAATCAGATATATATGAAAGAATGACTCGATCTAAGGAAAAGAAAGAGCCAGAGATTAATGTGAAATAGGAAAATATAGATATGGATGAAAAAAAGAATAAAGTAATTTAATAAGAATTAATAAAAGAAGAATAAATAGGAGTTGAAAATTAATAGAATTCTCAAGAATTATTATACTAATAATATGAGTATTAATATTAGGCTTTCTAAAAGTTTTTATTAGAATATGGATAGCTTAACAAATAATAATAATAATAATAATAATAATAATAATAATAATAATAATAATAATAATAATAATAATAATAATAATAATAATAATAATAATAATAATAACTTATTTTAAATCAATTTAATACTTAATAATTATGTCCAAGATGTTTAGGAAATTAAAACACTATGGGATAGTTGTATACATTAGCAGATATTAATAATTTATTTAAAATGTTTTAATATCAAATGATTATTCAATGTTAACCTAAATTAGAGATGACTAGTGATGTCAACATGATGTAAAATCAAAGTTAACCAAATAAGCAATATAACAACTTTATATTGCAGTGACATTTGGTTTTTGAAACTCAAAAAGCCAATGAAAATGTTAAACATAATATTAATCAAATAATTTAGTTAAAACATAATACAATATCATTCTTATTTGCCTTCCTTCATATCATATGTCTGCATAAGTTTAATTTGAGGAACTGGAAATTATGTAAGTTTGGCTGCTTTTTCTTCATCTGTCATTCCTTAAATAGAAGCTTAAACTGAAGCAATATTTTATTATCTCCATTTAGTATATTGTTTCTACATTTCATTATATTCAATCAAAGCAGCAGATAGATATCTAATATTATTTTCATTTAAGATAATTGTTTTTTTATTGTTTGGATTCCTGAACTCTATTTTTCTCTCATAAATCATTCTCTTATCCTTATCAATATTTTAGTTTTTTGTTTATTCTTCACAAATTATCAAATCCTTAAATGAACCTTCAATTTTTAGTTTTTACTCTAATTTCAATTTCATTCTTTGAACCAACGGTAATTCTTGATATAAAGATTTAGTGACAAATTTGGCTTTGGCTGTCTCAATGTTCATCATAAATCTGGAATATTTCAAATAGATGTAGTCACTCTAACTAAAAATAATTAATGAATTACCATCAATTAAGTTTCCTCTTTTCTATTTTCATAATAACTTTGTAATCTTTTAGGTTTAGTAATTTGAAAGTATTGTTTATCAAATTAATTTTCATCAATGATTTGAATTTTATTATTTCTATGTAAATGATATATACGATAAATGAGTAGACTTATATATACACTTCTAACAGTTTTAGACCAATGCAAAAATAATTGATAACATTAAGCTTCAAATAGAAAGTCTACAATAGCTTTTTTGAATTCCAATGGGAATATTAAATAGTTATTATAGATTAAATGTAAACTTTTGGCAATTACAAAGGCATTCTCACTTTGTGTAACTGCAATTCTTAATCCATTTAAAAAGAAAGGGTAATCAAAATTGGTTGGAATAGTTTAACAGTGTTGTATACATAAACTAATTAAATCCATAACTTGAACAACTCTATCACTTGAATAAATGCTATTAATCGATATAAATAATTACTTAGTTTTATTATACAATATCATAATAATGACATTTAAAGGTCCTCCATTAGTAACAACTTAAGTAATTGCACTAATCATGGCATCTGGATATGATTCCCTTATTTTTAATTCACATAAAAGTGCTTTCAAAATCTTTCTATATCCAGGTATATCTTTCCAAGGGATGATGTCTTTTTAGAATTTTTATTAGATATGTAAACATAAAGCTTAAACAAAGAAAAAGAAGGTTGTATTTCTTTTCGTAATAATCCTACGCCATTCTTCATCTGAATTCATTGTTATGGCATTGATATTTAAATTAGAGGGCAAATAATTATAAAAGTAACTTTACCAATCAAATAAAACTGTGACTTGTTCAGTTCTAAAATTTTCTGGATCATCTAATTAATAATCAGTACCACGCCATTCTGATAATTCAGGATCATTAGGATTTTAAAGAGCATTAACAAAAGCTTCTCTAAATTCTGGAACTTTAAAAAATGAACTAGCCAAGAATTTTTCAACGAATGCTTTTTCTTTAGGAGACATATCTTTTAAACATATCTTTTATAAAGCAATATTTAATGTATTGTATAAGAATTATTAAAAATGACAACAGATTTAATTCTTAAACTTTAATTGTTTTTTGTTTAATTATTTACAATCATCAAAATATCCCATTGAACCTAAACTTAATTCACCTCTAGTGCATACAATTTATAAAATTTCATAATAAATTTCTCTAATATTCCCTTCAATTTTATCAACAAAATTAAATAGATTCTCTGCAATTTTAATAAAGATCTCTTATCCTTTCATCAAATCATCATAACTTTTGTAATAAAATTGACTTAATTGTGAATCCTTATCACTTTTACTAACAGCTATTAATAATTATTAAGCAGTATTCTATAATTCAGTCATCAATTATTATTTTTAAGATACTTGATTATTAGATGATAATTTAAACATTACTTAACTTAATTTCTCAAATTAATTTACTACTTCACTAATTTCCTTTATACTTTAATTAGCTAAAATACCTGTTCCAATAGTACATCCCTTCTCTGTTCTTAATCCAATCATCTATTATTTCATATGTACAGGTATTTTAATTGTAAAGTCTGATTACATTTATCCAATCTTATTCCCTCTTAACCATAATCCTTTTGTTATATTACATCTATGAATACTATAATCATCCAATTATTCCTCTTGATTTTTTAACAAATAATTCAATGCTATATTAGATTCAGCAAATATGATTTGATCTATTGCTTCTAAATGATAATTTAAAGATTTAACTGATTTTCTAGTTGGTGAATGATCCTCTATTGATTTATTAATACTCCAAATACAAACTTATAATGAGGAACTTGAAATCTCATTTATTGGCAATTCTACAATCAATTTAGGCATATCTGTATTCAACCATTGTATTCGAAATAATTCATCTTAGATACTATTGTAGGATGCATTCCTGCCTCTAATATAAGCAGGATTATTAAATTTCTCTGAATTTTCTGATAAGAATTGCATTTTGCGAGTCACTAACTTTAAATTGAATACATATTATTTTTCTTATATGCATGTATTCATTGTACATATGATTTCTTAAGGATTTATCTCTAGTTAAAGAATTTATGCCATAATCATATTAAATGATATTCTTCCTTTTCCTATTTGATAATCAAAAAATTGAGGGCCTTAAATAATGTCATACAAGGTAATTTTCAATTAAGCCAATTCTTTATCATCTTCATAGAGAAAGAATACTAAATATTTTTCTTTCAATTATATTTCATTTGCTTCTAATTACAATGTTATTTTTCTCTTCCACTATCATTATAAGTAAGCAATCTTACACCATGTTTTCCTTCCAAATCAAAATGTTTTGGAGTATCACATTTGTAATATCCACCGATATCAATTTTAAGATGACATGATCTTGATGGATGACTCAATCTAATATTAAATAACTCACTATTGAATTTCATAGTTCCGATTCCAAATTTTTTGGCATTTGATTTCTAAGGTGATTTGTTCTGTTAAATTTAACTTGTACAATGACCCATCAAAATTAATATGTAATTTAATAATGTTATATAAAGATAGAACAACAAGTAGTATTTTTTTGTTTCTTACATATCAACTTAAAAACTTCTGTTTACATCAATTGAGATAACTTTTAATTACAATAAATTTTTATAAACATTTAATTATAGAATTTATTACATTGAATTCAGTTTATTATTTTGAGATTTATGGTCAAATGCATGATTCATCTCTTAACCCGATATACTAGTTTATAGCAAAACCTAATTATAAATGAGTAACATGTGAATTTTCAAGTTTATAATATATATTTATACAAATAAATTTCTGTCCAATAACACTGTAAAATAATTTACAAATTATTAGACATTCTTCTATTCAGAGTGACAACAACTTATTTTTCTTCCCAAAGAAAATTACCATAATTATCAATCATTTATAACATAATATATTCATTGCTTAGTTACTTCCATTTTAAGGAAGTGAATATTTCTCGAATTAACTTCTTATCCAGCTATCTTTGATACAATCGAATATGAAATAGCACTTTTTATTGAAGCATACGAACATCGTTTTGCTGATTTGCAAATCTTTTATTGCTTTATTACATTCTATTTGTAATATATGATTATGGATTTTGCAGTTGCGTACTTAATCTACAATCTCTAAGCAGCCTTATTTCAAATATAGAAATTCATACATTTTTGATATTCAGACCTTAAATTAAGACTAATTCGGCTAAAAGTTTTTTGGTTTATGAAGAACTCTTGATGTATGATCTTTTACTCCTTTTGTAAACATAATTCATTTGCTATTGAAAAAAATCTTGAAAAAATAAATACAAGAGCATTTAAGAAATTTGATTTACAATTTACAATTAATATAAAATGTCTGTATCTTGGAAAAGTCATAGAAATACTACAAACTTATTCAGACAATTTTAAAGAGACATCTATTTTAAATTGATATTTAGACTGAACATGAAAATTCTTAAAAATTCTAATTAAAGTTAATAAATATATACACAAATTCTTTAGTATTATTATTATTAAAATAGAAAATGAATTATTTAACTCCTAAATAATAAAAATGGAGATAAATAGGTCCTTGTATTACTGATTTCACATATGAAAACAATATTGATTGGCCTGTTACTTCTTGTAAATGGGGACCTATAGTATAAGAATCCAAAGAATATATTAGACAAAAAGTATATTTTGCAATCAAAACAGATGGTATTTATGATGAAGTTACAAATATATGGAAATAAACACCATGTCAATTAATTGTAGCTACTGTAGGTAATATAGTATGATTATTTAGATATACCTCAAGTGAAATATTCAATTAATCATCAAGTTACTTTTGTGTATTAGTAATTGTAATTATATAAAAACCCGCATTTAAAAATACGTCAAATCATAGTACATCCAGGAGATGTCAATATCATTAAATGTAATACAACTTAAAAATTAATTGCCACAAAAAGTGATAATAGCAATGTACTTGTTTGGGATGTAACAAAACATAAAAATTAATAAAATCCAAAAGACCCACATGCAGGTATTCCTGAAATATATTTGATGGGTCATTCTTAATAAGGTCATTCAACTGCTTTAGATTGGTCTCAAGAATACAAATTAGGTAGTGGTGGTAAGGATTGTAAAATATTATTGTGGGATATTAATGATTATCAAACTCGTTTATCAACAAGTTCTATATTTACAAATAAAAGAGAATTAAATAATATTTGTGGAAATGATTCAATTAAATTAGATAAAAGAACAGTCTTAACAGGACATTAAGCAGAAGTTGTTGATATGTCATTTAATAAATTTTAAACAGATTAATTAGTATCTTGTTGTTAAAATAGACAGATAATATGTTGGGATTAAAGAATGGATGGAGGTAAATGTTGGAGTCTAGATGAAGTACATAAAAAAGATATTCATTGTGTAAGTTGGAGTTAACACGATGAAAATTATATTGCTAGTGGTTCATTAGATGGTAGTGTACATATTATTGATATTCGTAAACCAATTGGAATTTAAGAATATGTCAAAGAAGTTGATAATCTTTCATAAGTTTATTCATTATAATTTGGACCTGATAGAAATCATTTGACCATTGGAAGTGAAGAACTTTATTCAGTTAATTTCTAAACCAAAGAAACTACATTCTGTTATTTTGGTCATAAGTAAATTTCTTATATTATTCATTATTAAGAGGAAGTATCAATGATTTTGATATAAATGAAAAAAGTCCTTGGACATATGTTAGTACATGCTAAGAACACGAATATTTTGGTGGAGGATGCTTACATATATATCGTTTATTAGATTTAGTATATTTAAATGAAGAAGAAGGATATTAATAATTAAGTAATTGAAATTTAATCTATATTTAATGATATTTTTCATAAGTATATATATTATTGTAATAGAATTATTAAATATAGAATATCATGATCTTATATTTATCCTATATCTAATAGTTTAATACTAAATGATTTTAATGAAAAGTAAACAAAAAATAAAAATGTTAACAAAATATATTTATATTATTTAATATAACAATTAATATATTTAATCATCATGTCAAATAAAACTGTTTATCCTTGGCAAAAGTATTCAAAAAATCCACTTATTGTAAAAGATGATGTTGGAAAAGCAAAACCAAATACCTACCCAATTCCTAATTGTGCATTTGGTACTCGTACTATTCCTGGAAAAGAGGAATCATTAGGAGAAGTATTGTGCCATATGGAGCATTTTGCTTCAATGGAGATAAGACCAGAAAGGGATTTCAAAAAAACTAATATCATGAGTATCAAACGTAATTTGTGTACAGCTAAAGAATTCTAAGAATTCAGACAGTCACATGATATCAGATAAAAGGTTGTTTAGGGTAAACCAAGAATAAATGAAACTCCTAAATTATAAGTATTCGGTAGAAAAAATAAGTATAAAGTTAAATCTAATCTTAAGAACTCCTTCACCAATTAAAAATGTTTTAGCATATGATTATGGTGCAGTAGCTGAGAAATAATAAGCAGAAGCATATACACCAAGGCCATCAACTGCCAAAAGTAGAATTTCAGCAGAAACTAAATCAAGTAAATTACTAAGAGAAACAAATAAGAAAAATCACTTAATGTAATCTTAACCAGAATAATTGAAAAAGTTATCTCAATTTGCTAATGTCAAAGCTAAAACTAAAACTAGATATTGAATTATATTTCTATCCATCATTTGTTATTACAATCTTATTATTAATATATAATGAATTCAATTATAAATATTAAATATCAAATGTATAAGTGCTAATAAGTCTTAAATTTTATATAGATCAAATATTATATACAGTTTTAGTGTGTTTGATTATTTTAGAAATATTCTTATATTAATTCTGAAAAATAGAGGATTTTTAAATTGTCTTTTCGTGTTACTTTTTGTAGTGTGAGATCTAAATAAGAATCTTAATTTTATTTTCTTTAGTAATTCATTGAACTAATACAAATTCCACAATATTTAAATATTTTTTTTTTGTAATTATATACTATTTAATTATTCACGAGATATTAAACATCCTATTCTATTTTTTAAGGAGTAATTAAATAATTAAATTTTTTATCTATTACTTATTTTTAAGTCATATACAAAGGTTAACAGGAACAGAGAGGATTTGATAAAATAGATTTATATAATGAATAGAGATTTATTTATAATAGATGTCATCATATTTGTTTATTGATGTTATCTATGAAATTATTTTATTTATTTATATATATTCATTTAGTATATGAATAAAAATCCTTTTAATTTAAACTTAAACCATGAAATTGAAATTAAATATTTAAACTAAAAATGCTATAAAAATTGATAATAAAAATATTCATTATTTCTTTTGAATAAATAGATAAAAATAGAAAATAATAAAAAAATAAAGGTTATCAATACAAGGACTCCATAAAAAGTCCTAAATACTTAGAGGTCTAATTGGATATAATACTTTAGGCTACTTAGTATGGTTGACAACTATATTTGTTAATAAATTCATCATTTATTATAGTATTATAATCAATAATCAAATGAATAATACAATATTTATCAATATCTAAATCTTTATTATATACTGAGATCAGGTAAGAATAATTAAATAGGAGCAATGATATCATGTTCAAAAATGTAATCGTTGTGTGTCATATCTGGTCTAATTCTTTTTACTGATTTTGCCTTAACCTTATTCGGAAGACTATGATTTAAAATTATAAAATTAAAACTTTGCGAATAGAATTTCTGTGTGTTATTCATCTACGATATCATCATCTGCACCATGTATCATGAGCATAGGAGATTTAGCATGTTGAACACGTTATAAATTATCAAATTTTGATGGAATTAGATTTGCTATCCATTCAAAGGTTTTCTCTTTGATAATATCTTTTATAGAGGTAAAAGAACTTAGTACAATAACTGCTCTACATTATCTTAAACTATTTATATAGAAGGCTGGTCCAGTTCCTATTGATCTATATTTAAATTTAGTTTGATACCTTCCAAAAACAATAATTTGATTGTTTTTTAGTTTGTATTTGTCTTAGATATGATCAAACAATTGAAGTGCATCTTATTCGACAATAGAATCATGAACATCAACATTTTGATAGATGCCATAACCTGGATATTCAGATAGGATGGCGTTGAATTTACAAGATTGTTAAATCTCATATATAAATTATTAAGCATAGTATCTATAGAATAGAGTATGTTTAATATACATATCTTCATCTTTGGCATGAAAGTAGATTAAGTATATGTCAGTGTTACAAAAAGGATGTTCCATAATTAAGTATGGAGCATTTCTTACATGTTTTCCACCATAATGTATTTTTGCATAATCTATACAATTTAAATAATCTTTATTTGAATACATCGGTTTAGGTGCCGAAAACATCACTTTTAATACTAAGTTTTCTATCATTATAATAAATATTATTAAATTAATAATGATGTAAAAAATATATAATTTATAATGTAGACAACATAAGTGGTATTCTAATTTGATTATTTATTGATATAAACATAAATTCATTATAATTTTTTTTATAGATAGTAACACAATGATTTGATATCATATTTTTATAGATATTCACTGCTCACCCATCGATTTTTTGGTATCATACCTAATGTATTATTAAATTAAAGAGTACCATTACATCTTTTTTGCCATAATAAATAATACATTTTAATGCCTGTTTATTTGATCTATGCAGCCTATCCTATTTTATCTAATTAATCTCCATATTCAAATCCTCCTTCATTAGGTAATTTAACCTCGGTATTCTTTTGAGATAATTCAGAAATAGAATCTTAAATATTCTCAGAATCCTGTTATTAATTTGATTGTTATACTTTCTTCTCTTAAGGTAATGTCTACATCAATTAAATAATATCTTCCTATTATTTTTTTACTTGGTTTAATTCTTGTTTTAATGAACAAACTTAATCTTGAAGTTTCTTAATTTATTCTTATTATTATTGTAATACAGTTTGTTTTTATTAACATGGAACTCCTATAAAATCTTCTAATAAAGGTGGTTCATCATTTTCAATATAATAAAAATTGGATCCTAAATTTTTGACATTCTATTCGTATTCACTTAAATATTCAATTAAATTGGGAATCTTGTCTGGTTTTTCCCATGTACAATCTCTATTGTTATATCCCTACCATTTAACAAGATAGTATTTTTATCCTTGATATTATTTATAATCGAGAATCTTTTCAATGAAATATAAACCTTTTTTCTTTTTGGACATTTAGTACTCTTTTATTTAAATAAAATTATAATTCTAATTTATATTTTAATTAAATTATACATAGCAACATAATTGTAAGTCACTTATTTATTTGACCATGTCTATCCAATCATATTTTTTATTATAATATATTTATTATAAAATCACATCATAAAAGAGATTATAATAAAAATAATCATTTATATCTTTAGTAAATATTAGGTAATGAAAAAGAATCTTTATCTCTCTTCATTTTCATATATTCATCTATTTCTAAAGTCATTTCTTCAGATTTCAATTTATATCCTTCAAAATCATCATCATTAAACACTAAACTCTTTTGAGATTACCTTTAAATCTAAGGTAAAATATTTTTGTCTCTAATTTAATTATCCATATGATCTGATATTGATAATCCTCTTAATTCTTTTGGTTTATTGACCTTCTTAACATTCTTTGGACTACAATTAAAATATTATTTACTGACACATTAGTGATAACATCTGGAATCTTTTTCTTTTAGATTGCTACCACACCAATAACCTTGCATTAATTATTATTCTACGAAGTAATAGAACTTGGTGATTATTATAAATAATTGTTGTAAATGTTCTTTGAAAATACTATTTTTTTCTTAACTGCCTTTAATGGTGATGAATTAAAGGCATTTCTTAACATATTATCTCTCTCCAAATACTCATCATACATCAATTCTTATACAATTTATTGTACAGATTTATTTGAAAATTTGTGAAGCTATTAATATGACATTTTTTTATTAATTTTATAATCATTAATAAATATAAATAGAAAGTTGTCACAATTTCTGTTTATTTAATACATTTAATACATTATTGATATTATAAGCAACTTTATAATGTTGATATTCCCAAATTTTATCAATATCTAGAATAGAATCTTAATCCTAAAAGTCTGTTTAATTGATCACTGTATCTGGCACTTGTAAATGTTTAATCAAAGTACTACTTATGATAGGATCACTAATCTTATCAGATATCAAATCAATTTATAGTATATCTTTATATATTTAACTAATAGAACTCTGTCTACCAATCTAATCAAATTATAATTGCTAATTTGACACATTCACTTTATCACTAGAATAATCAGAAAATGCTTCAAAACTATTTGAACTAATATCATTAACATCAATGTTACTAGTTCCTTAATTTGTAATCTAAATTTCAAAAATCAATTACTTATTAATAGATACCTGCTTTAATTCTATTGTTCTTTTTTCTCTTAAACATAGAATCTCTCTCTTAACATGTCTTATCATAAGTGAATCTTCTCTTAATATTTAAACAACCACAATTAAATGTTGGATGATATAGATTGCAAAAATAACATTATATATTCAATAACTCTGTATTATTGTTAAAATTAATATCATCCTTTATCATCTAATACTTTTCCTAAACATTATAATATATCAATTACTATCTCAGTCTCTTTTTGTAAACAATTCTGAAATTAATCCTAATTTATGTAAAAGTATAATATGTCATTCATATCAAATGGTTCTAATTTTAATTTTCTCTATTATTATTAAATATTCATCATTTCAATTAAACATATGTTAATAATCTTCCTATTATCAATTTATAATTTCAATCCCATAAATTCTAAATTAACTCTTCCAGTAAGTATAATATATATTCCATTAATTTCTGCTTAAAAATTCTTAAATTTATAATTTAAATTACTTATTATTTCAAACTTAATTCAAATAATCCCTTCGTACTGATTTCATTTATAGCTTTTTTAGATAGAAAGTTAAATTATCTGAGTTCCTAATTAATCAACTTCATTTTTATATATTATAATAAATTCTACTTTTTTAACTTCTATCTTGTACTTAATTCGTTTTCTATTAATAAAAATAGTGTTGAATAATGAAACAAAATAAACTTAACTTTAAATTATATCATATCTGATTTTAAGAATAATAAATAGGTTTTTAAATTAATTTCATGTTTTGATAATTGTGATTAATATTATGTAAATATTTTAAATAAGAAAATAAATATTATAATGTTACTAAATAAATGTGTTAGTATTATTAAGTGATTTTATTAATTATCTAATTGATCAAATTAAAAAAAAAACATTAGAAATGATTTATAAAAGTATTCGTTATATATTAGATCTTCTTAATTACTTTATTTTAATTCTATTCCCCATATGCAAGTAAAGTAATGTATTTAGAATAATAATATTATGATCATTTTAGTAATTATCATTTATCTAATATATAAAATATATGTGTTACTAATAATTAATAAATATGATTAAACTTAGCAATTTTTAAATAAATTTTAAATTTCTTAAGAACAATAAATAGTATAAAATAGTAAATACTATAATGTTGTTTGTTGTAATGCAAAGTGCATAAATTAATAAGATTGTAATATTTAATAATGATATTGAGAAGTGTTTTTCTTTGAAAAATTAGTTTAGAAATTTAATAAATTGAGTGTATAATTCTAATATCATTAAAAATAAAAGAACTGGAAAATATATTGGATCTGATTTTCTTGAAATTATTATAAATTAATTACTCATAGTTCTCAAAATAATAGTAAGGTAAATAGAAAGTTAAAAAAAGGAGTGAAATGTTCATGAGGTTGAATGAAATAATTTTTGTATACAAAAACATTTCACATGAAAAGAGAAGAGATTTTTGTTTATCTAATATACGTTGATTTTAATAGGAACATAGAGTCTCTAAATTTTTTGGAACTTGATTATTTTCACTTCCAGAATCACTAAATTTACTAAGCTACATCTGAGTATTGATTTCAGGGTCTTTTCTGATTGGAATAGAGCTGAAATTGGAAGTTTAAAAGGATGGCCAACAAACAGAAACATCATTAGATGGATATTTTAAGGGTTTGTTCATCTCTAATTCTACACTTTTTCGCATTTTTTAAACTTTTAGAAATTAATGAATTACTTTTTATAGATTATTATCAAGAATTTGTAAAATAATAAATATAATAGTACCTAATTGATAATTAGATGATATCTTTTATATTTAGTAGTTTATAGTAATTATAGCAGTTATATCATTCAGCAATTTAATTAATAAAAATATATAATGCTTGATGGTCGTGCTGCAACTTCGGGTAATTTTAACAATAAAACAACATCCGTAATTCCATTATCATAATTGAGGAGGATGAGAAATAGCAGTTGTGAAATCTAAGATAATCATACTATGATAGAGAAATAAGACTTGTATATTAGATATATATATATAACTTATCAGACATGCTAAATCCTAGGAGAGAGTGAAAAAGTGGCCATGTGCTATGAATATTAGGAGAAGAAAGAATCAATCACAATTTGAGAGATTTGCAGAAGATGAAGAGGAACGTAGAAGAATTGAAAAGGAGGAAGCTGAATACCAATAGAAATAAAAACAAGATGTATTATTAAGAGCAAATAGATTAATTTATGAGAATAATCCATTTATTAGATAATTTTAGTAGAAACTGTTATTTTCAGATGTTCTTTAAGAAAGAGATTCTTAACTTCAATTAAATGAGTATAAAAAGACTATTAATAAGTAATTTATTGATTTAATGATAATAGTGTGAGAGATAAGTTGCATAATGAAGAACAGTTAGAGATTATGGCTAATTATGATTAAACAGAAAAGCTTAAAGAAGAAGAATTCAAACGAAAGAAATAAGAATAAAAAAATATACTTAAATAATAACATGATGAAATGATTAATAATCATATAAAATAAATATAGAATGAGAAGATTGAGGGTTAATTAATTAAGGCAAGAGCATAAAAATTAATTTAAGAGGAAGAGGAAGCTGAAAAGGAGAGGAAGAGAAAGAGATATGAAAATATGCTTGAAATTAAGAAAGGTAATGAGGAAATAAAAGAATATAAATTATAATAATTATAAAAAGATAAAGAATAAGAAGAATAAATTAAATTACATGGAGAAAAGAAAGATAGAATTTTAGAAATGAGAAAATAAAGAGAATAAATTAAATTTAAAGAAAAGTAAGAATAAAGATAAAAATTAATTGATGCTTAAATTGCTATTCTTATGAAAAAAGAAGCAGAATAATTATAATTGATGAATAAATAAATTAAAGAGGCAGAATAAAAAGATGAAGAAGTAGAAAAATTAAAATTAATTAAATAAGAAACACAAAAGAAAAAGATTGAAGATAGTAGAAATATTATTAAAGAATTTAAATAAAAAGATAAAATAATGAAAAATTAAAATGATAAAGAATTTTAATAATATTGGAAATAAAGAGGAGAAGAACTCTAAAAAATAGAATAAGAAGATTTAGATAATTAAAGAAAAAGAAATTAATCAGTAAAAGATTATTAATTATAATAAATAGAATAAAAATAGGTATTATATATTAATATAAAAATTAGAAAATTAAAGAATAATAAATACTATAAGAATTACAATAAGATGAAGATATTAAAAGATAATAACATTTAGAAAATAAAACATTTTTTACATGGGCAGAAAGAGCAGTCAAGGAATGGGCTGACTAAGGAAAGAATATTCGTCCTTTAATCAAAGAATTAGCTAAATTAAAAGAAATTTGATCTTTAGATTAGATTACTTATTTTTTTAATAGAATTTATTAATAATAAAATTAAATCAATTAATTGAAAAAATAAGATAATAATAATAATATTATTAAGGTTAAGGATTTCCCATATTTATACAGTCTCCTTAAATCACTTAATTTCATAGTTCAATAAGGAATCATTATAATTTTATTTATAAATCATCAATATTATTTTGTTGAATTTAATTTAAATGATATTCACTTCATCATTAATATTTTGAAATTTATCAAATTGTGATTCTATATTAAATACTAAACAAAAATTAGTTACAATACATTTATTTGATAGATAATTATATGTAATATTTAAAAAATTATATAATTTAAGAATGATTGAATAACCAGATATATTTAATGATGATCAAGCATATAAAAAATATTTAGAAATAAAAGATTAGACAGAAAGAGAAAAGAAAGCAAGAGTGGATAAAATTTTAGATGATTATTGTTATCGATAATTAAATTTACCAGCAGCTGAGTATAGAAGTTAGTAAACAGATTTAATCTACAGACCATAACATTATCCAGTTGAATTAGTTCATCCTGAAAGAGTACATTATACATCTTAATTTGTTGGTTTCAATCAATAATCAAACTATTAATAAAGAAGATAAAAAGCTATGAATAGAGTTCCTTAATAGGTTCAATATTATTATCCTCCTTCAAATCCATTTTTATAAAATGCATAATAGACTCTTAATTAACAATAGTTATTACCTAGTTTAAGTTTATAATAAGGGAATCTTGGTTATAATTAATAATTAATGACTTAATCAACTCCTTAAATTGTATATTAGAATGATGCAAAGTCAGATTTTTTAAGAAAATGTGATAATTTATAGAATAGAATGGATTACAATCTTAGAAATGTTGACAAATTTTACTAATATTATTGAAAGAAAAGTATTAATGATATATTTATTCACACTGGTATAAAATATTTTAATATTGCATTAATGAACCTTTTTTTATAATCTCCTGGATTAACAATTGTTGGTACCTATAAATTAGGATTAAAATTAATATCATACCATTCCTCCTTTTAATAAATATTTCAAATAATGTTCAGTTTCCTTATCCCATGTATAAAATCTTAAATAATCTATGATACCCATTCTTAATTTCTTTTACTTTTAGTCTATTATTAATAATAATGAATAATCAATAACATTTTATTTATTGAGAAATTTACAATCAATCTATAAATAATATTGAAATGAATACTTAAAATGCTCTATCATTATATCTATAATTCTCTTTAAGAATAGGAATAGGTTCTGAATTTCTATCAATTCTGAAATTAGTATCTAAAAGAACTCCTTTCTTTTTCTTTTCTAATCTATTAGTTTCACTTCCTTTAAGATCATATACTAAAAGATTAGATGGATCTCCCATTCCAAAATATAGATTTTCCATAACTAAAAAGTATTCTGTTTATCCTCTATCTCTAATTTCAAACATTCCAAAGATTTTACTTAATAGAGAAGGTTTAGATTCATAAAAATGTCTATACATATGTTTAAAATAATCTAAAGCAAATTGTTTAAACATCATAAATTCTTTGTCTTATTCTAATTTTTTGAAAACAAATAATTCATCATTTGATTTATAGAATTTAGATTGAGATTTACCTCCAGATGCACTCCAAATATTAGTAGAGGATATAGATTTAATAAATGATGCTAGAGTAATTCCTGCTAATAATCTAAGTGCTTCAAATTAAGTAGGAAAATAAATAAGAACCTCAATCCATTTTGTTTTACGAACTTGAGTGGTAGGAATAAATTATTATTAATTATTTAATGGTAATGATTTATCTTATTAAGCATCATCAAATTAAGTAGATAAATTAATTTGATATTATTATTATTATTATTATTATTATTATTATTATTATTATTATTATTATTATAAAATTATAGTATTTGATCTATCATTCTTTTTTTCTACATCATAATTTATTTTCAATATAAATATATCTCTATTATCTTATTTTTAATATTATTATTATTGATTTAAATTATTATTATTATTACCTAAATCTACACTCATATATCTAATATTTTCAACATCTTATTTCTATTCTTTTGGTGATAATAATGATTAAAAGAATAGTTTAGCCTACTCGGATTATTTTTATGTAGACTCAATCATTCCAAAATCTTAAGTTTATAATGAAAGTAATTACTTTCTTTTTGATAAATTTCATTGATATATTTTGGATGATTAAGTGTGAATGATAAATAAGATAATGGTTAATTTTCATAGATTGGAACAAATTCCTATAACAATAAAATAACATCTATACATAAATCATTTGAGACTTAATTAATTTTTATTATTCTGCAAGAAATGAACTAATATTCCATTCTTTTTGAAAATTATTAATTTCAATAGTAGGAATAATATTATTATTAGTTTAATTAATATTCATATTATCAAGATCTTTATTGGAATCATGATGTGTTTTATGAATGGATTATTGTAATGTTTAATTTGCATCAATTAAATTTAAAATAGCTTAATTATTATGAATTTCAGATCCAATTCTTCTATGATTTCTAACAAATAGAGGTGACTATTAAGTATCTAATTCAGGTGAATATAAAGGTGGTATAATTAAATCACTTAAATCAACCTTTCCAGAACTTTCTCTATAATATTATTCTTCAATTTCTTATAAAGAATGTTTTTATCCTGAAATTTAATAATGATCTTCTAATTCTTAATTTGAATGATACTATTTGGCTTCATTTAAATTATTACCAGAATCAACCTTCTCTAATTCATAAGTTGTTTTAATCTAATTATTATTAGTTACTAATATTGAATCTTAATTCTTTAAATTAACTGCAGCATTCTATATGATATTTCTCAAATCAGAATTCAATTCTTTCTTCTTCTTATGTTCTTATATACTTTACATAATATTCTTATATTGAAGTCCAAAATCTTAGGATTATTTAAGTACTTAAAAGATTGATATATATTATGTTTCAGCCAATATTTTCTCACATTCCTCTTTTAATTATTTAATTGATTTTATTAATAAATCAATCTCTCCTTTTGCTAATGATTTAGGTATTAAATTAATCAATGTAATTCCAAAAGTATTTAATTTATTCATCAATTCATCTTTTAATTATCTGATATAATTTTATTCCCAAATCTTTAAATAATCATTTAATGAATTATCAGAGAAATTCAATAAAGTAGTTTAATAAACATCAAATTCACCTACCATCACTTTCATTTAATACCCATAATATGTATAGACTCTTTAAACTTGAGAATGATTACATTATGTTGAATTTTGATAATGATTTGTATTAATATTTTATGTGAGAAATAATTATTATAAGAATCTTAAAAATGAATATTCCAAATATTTTTAACTTAAAATTACTCTATCAGATAATTATTACATACATAAATTACATTCAAAGTAAGTTTCTATTTATATTTTTTCATTTGAATGATTCTATTTAATTATACTTGGTAAATCTTTTAATAGAAATGTTCCATTCTCATCATTTTATTAAATTTATGATTATTCTTTTTACAATACTATTTATTTTATTTAATTCATTTATCCATCCACACTAAATTTAACATATCTACCAGCATTATAATATATAGAAACATGACTATTTCTTGGTAATTTACAATATTCACATCTGAATTATAAATTAGCAACTTTTAATATAATAAATGCACCCATAGACATATCATCATTTGAATGATAATATGCTTTAGGTTTTTCAGTTGGCATATTACACATATCAGCAAAAAAATCAACTACCTTATCATTTTAAGGTGGAAATTCTTTTTGATAAGCCAATAGGGCATTCATATCTTTAATATCATTAAAATTATGAATGTCTGCTCTAGCATAATTAATTTTTACATAAGCTAGATCTGGTTTTATGACTTCTTTGAGATTAACTTTTTCAAATAAAAACTTTGTAAAATCACCAACACAAAAATTGAATTATTTATTTTATCTTAATTTCTATTCACTAAGTATTATATATCTCTCTACATCAAAATGTTTACCTAATCTCATGCAACCAACAATACATTATTTCAATTTCTATAATAAATCTTCTTATGGTCCAGATAACATAATTGTTACTCCATTTTTACCATCTTTTGTTTCAATGAACATTAATGTATTATCTTTTCCAGCTACATCTTATTTATCTGGATTTGGTCTTGGAAAATTGCGAAAGAAAATCTTTTCACAATTTCCAGTTACTTATGTTTCTTTTTATATATAACCATCTAATTTATCTAGACGTACAAATTTAGAACCTGTACATTTAGCTATTTTTCTTAATTAATGGATTTTCACATTTTAAACAACAGTAATATTGAATTTACAACATATATCTAATGCTACTTTACTTACAGATTTCTCAACAATAATAATTGTAGGTTTAAAATTCTCTTTAATTTTTTCTATGTAATCTTAAAGTACTCTTTTTTCTTTCAATATAAAATCATCAAATTATTAAGTTTCTTCAATGAAATCTAGATTACCATGTATAATCAATATACGAGGTTTATAAAGTTCAGTTTACATTCTTTTCAGTGCTATGTTCTTTCTAATAACAATGCCTGGAAAGTAACAAGTTAATGAATAATCTTTGTATGGCAATAATTTAGTTTTTACATAACAAGTAATATCTAGAGGATCAGAATTAAGTGATGAAAATTAAATATCTTCAACAGCTTTTTTAACAAATTCAAATGTAGTTATTTTAAGACTATCAAAATGATTATCATGATTGCGTTAAGGTTATATAAATATCTTTAAACTATGATCACATATATTTTCCATTTATTAATAACATTTTTCCTTTAGTAATGATAATTATGATTTCAATAATTCTGATTCCTTATTTTTATTCTATTCTTCAGGTGGGAAATAACTTTGTATACTTACCTAAACAATTTCAGGATTAAATTCTTAATCATTATTCATATTATCTTCCTATTCTTCAGTTACTTGAACAGTTTGTGATCTGGATATTGTATATGATTGATCATCCTATTTATGTATGGATTCTCTTCTTGATAAATTCAATTATCCCTTATCAATTGATACACTGACTACTCTGGTTTCAAAGGTATTTTCTAATTTATATCCTTATGCTTTCAACAATTTTAATACTTAATCATAACATACTCCACACAATCTTACTTTCTTCTCTGTATTCTATACAAAATGTATACCATCTATAAAATTACTACTACAACTATTACATAATATACATTCTCTTACTCTGAACAAAATACTAATCCACATTTTCTACAATGATGTTTAGTTCTAAACAAATAATAAAATTGTCTATCACAATGTTCACATTTTGTCACCTTACTCTCAGCCTTCCATTTATCTCTTGATATCAATACACCAGATAATTGTTAATCCATATATGATTAATTAAATAATTATAATCTAAAATGCTGCCATCTCATCCTTCTCCAGTTGATAAAGATAAGAAAATCAAAATCATGGATGAATTAATCAAGACAAATCAAAAACATATTGATCATCTAAAATAAACTATCACCCAATTAAAAAGAGTAATATTGCATACCCAATTTAGTAATTACAATTTGAATAGAAGAGAAATTAAGATCTTGATAAAGATAATATTATGTTAAAAGATCAAATCAAAAAGCTACTCTCTAAACCACCATTACATACTCAATCTACTCAAACATCACATGAAATCCATAGAAGAGACTCAAGACAATTATCCACTAAAGAAGATCAATAATTTAATAGTGCCTCTAAAAATATATAGAAATCTGATAATGATCAAGTAAATCAAAAATAACAAATACTTAATCAAATATCCCCTTCAAAATAAGAAATCAAAAAAATCTAAAAACTTGATCTTAAAATTGATATTAATTCTGCACTTTAACGACAATAAAGTGGTCCTATAAGTAGTGTCAAAAAATCTTAAACATATTTACATGGATTAACTAATGTTAAGTTAATTGATGCAATTAAGGAAAGAATTCCTGAAAAATCAAATAGAATTGTAATAATATTATTGATTTGTATCTTTTTTTAGGGTTAAATAACTGGTGATAGAAGTAGTTAAATAAGAAGGTCTTTAATGTTTAATTTTTAGAATAATAAATCAACTATAATAGATTGTGAACTTACAGAAGAATAAGAAATATAAAAAAGTAGAAATTCAGATGGAAAATAATAATAACTTATTGAATCAATTGAAGAATATAGAGTAGAAACAATGGAAGTTTCAGCCTTATAATAATCAACATATAAATTATATGAAAAATTCTATATTATGGGTTGTGAAAAGAAAGAATTCTTAGAATTTGATAATGATCCTAATATCAAAGAAGGTATTTTACCTGCTAATATCTTATTCAAAAGTGATTCAATAGACACGTAAATTACATTCACTTTCTATTAGTCCTGTTTATGAAGAGATAATTAATGGATTTGTATATCCTTTTGGAAATCAAGTTGAGAAAATTAAAGTCAATGATTCATTTCGAAAATTAAAAGAGTAACTAAAATTCATTATTTCAGAATCATGTATTCAGGTAATAAATACGAATTATTGGACAAATTTTCCTTATTTACTATTAAAAATTAAGAAAATAATGATAATTTATCAGAACATACCAATCAGAATTTATTAAATCAAGCTAATCCTGAAAAATTACTTTATGGAATATGTTTATCTGTTTATGATTTCATTGAAACTACTCCTGATCATATTAAATTAACATTTGAAAACAGAAAAAAAAGAATTTTCTGGAAATACAAAAAAACTTATTGTTTTCTTACTTACTTTCCATTTTATGAATTATTCTAAGATCTTCTTATTTCAATAATTAGTAATCAATAAACTTAACATTATTTATAGATTTAATTAAAATCAATAGAACTGATAGATATTTAAAGAAATATTCTGAAGAGTATGAAGTCTTAAAGGATGTTGATGGTTAATAGATTATACTTGTATATATAATAATAATTAATATAGGAATTTTAAGATGAATTGACTAAATTCTTAAATTTAATCTAAGTTATTAAACCAATGTTAGGACATTAATAATTAGAACTCTAAACATTGGCAGGTACCTTAAAGTACAGAATACCCAATCAATTACAATTAGATATTGAATTAAGATTATGGAGTGCTAATGTCACTTTACAAATTTTAAATTATAAGGAAATCTTAAATATTTTCTTAGCTATGATTTCTGAAATCTCAATCATTTTTGTATGTGAAAAAAGTAATATCTTAACATCTATTATGTATCAAATTTTAAACTAATAAGCCATTTTTTTCATCACATAGTCCGTCCATTAGAATGGACTCAAGGAATCATTTATAATGTACCTGAATAATTATTAACCATGATTCAATCACCAGTTCCAATTATTATTGGAGTCAATCTTACAGAAAGTGATTTCAATTTGATGAGTCTTGCTGATAATTGTGAAAATCACTTATTTGTATTTTTGGATCGTGATAAAGAAAGTAAATTTCTTACTAAACCTTAAAATGTATTAAAAGACATATCCACTCCTTCATTTGGTGGATTATTGTAATAAATAGAGACTATTCTTAAGAATTAGAATAATATACGCAATCCAAGGTAATATTGAAAACATCTCTATTAATTAGTCCAAGTATCAGATAAGTCTCCAATAAAAATGATGATAAGAAGGTCATTAAATTTTATTTTGATGACCAAGATCAAAATAAAAGTAAAAAAGTACTTGAGACTTTTAAAAAGATTATTGAAGATTATATCATATCTAAATTACCATCTTAACATGAAAATAGAATCAAAGTATATACTTAAATATTTACAATAGGTAGGTCAAGATTTGAATTATCAATTTATTGAACAATACTTAGTCTAAAGTTCTGATCCTAAGGATAAAAAGTTCATCTAAAATCTATTTAAAACTTAACATTTCTAATATTTTATATAATAACATTATTGTGATCAGATTTGATGAAAATTTGATATATTTTATTTAATTAATTAATTAATTAGAATATAAAATATATATTCCAAAGATTTATATGAATTAGTCAGTTACTTAAGACTAATAGTCCTAGTATCTTGAAAATCAAAATAAGATTATAGAATAATAAGCAATAAGTAGAATACGAATAAACTATTATAAATATATAGCTTAGATTATAGGAAATTGAATAATAAATAACAAAATTATAAGTCCGTCAATATTTCAAGAAGAACATTTAAACTCGCTCTTAATAAGAATATCATACTAAGCTACAAGTATTTACAAATTCTGTGATCTAAAGTAAGATGATTTTTGATTAAAAATCCTTCAAACATAAACATGAAAATTCTATTGTAATTCAATCATGAAAGATAATTATATTGTTGTTAAGCAATAATTTATGATTTTTAAACAGAAACTCAAAGAGATGGCATACCTTTATAATGAAATATTGAAAAAATATTATGTTTTTTTACATTCTTTCCAATTTAACATATATTCTATAGTTATTTGAATAAATTCTATGCAATTTTATTTATATTTTAGGATATAATTAAATATTTACATTAATCAGTTAGGAGAAAAAGTGAAGATCTAAAGTTATCAGAGTATTTCATAAAAATTATGAGGATGGTTTAATAATAGAATTTTCAACAAATTTTGAAAAAAGGAAAATAATAAAAATATATTTTCTTTCAATATTTTTAATAAAATCAATAAGATTTTAGATGATTACTTAATGTTAGTCTTAATGAATCTAGAAGAATGAAGATGAGTGGATTTTTGAAGGAAATGGATATATTTATAAAAATTTATATCATTATTAATATTATTATAAAAAAAGAGAGAGATTTATTTGTATAAAAAGAAGGATTAAGTAATTAATTTATATTAATATTAGTCAGAGATACAATTAAGAAATAAATTAAAGATAAAATGATTAAGATTTTCTAAGAAATTATGTCCTGTATTGTCAATATTTTTAAGAATATTTAAGACACATTTATACAAGATTATGAATATAATTTTAACATTCAATATAATTATATAAATAATATTAATGAGTTCTGAAAAAGATTTCTAATATGATATTCATGATGTCCAAAATATTAAGACAGCTTTCTTAGATTTATAATAAGAGGAGAGTACAGGATTCAAATTAGGATTTGGAACAGCAATTTTATCATATTTTGTTTTTAGAAGATTCACATACTTAAGAACAGGACCTAGGTATTTAGTAGATTTAATAAAACAGATTCATAGGATCAATGATATTTGGTTCATAAATATATGGATTTTACACACATAGATCAAGAGCATATTATGATTATGTTGCTTAATAAGTAAATTTACATGCATCAGAAGCAATTAATCAATGTTTAGGACATTGATTTATATAATAATAATTATACAAATAACAAAATATATTATATGGTGGAAATCATAATAAGAATTCAAAATCTGAATTTTTAATTCCATCTCCAAAATAAGCATATCCAAATGTATAATCATTATTATAGCCTAAATATCCAGGCCAAATTAAATTTCTAATTGTAATCTAAAATTATAATTTCTATTTACATTTCTTTTAGTGGAATCTGTTTAGACTGACCATTAATTATATGGAGTATCATCGACTAAAGAATCTAAAAAGTCAGGTCTATATAATGCTTCATCTCGAGCTATTAAAGATATCATTATATTGCAAACCTATAAGATCTTATTTATCCTTTCTGATGGGTTATCTAAAATGTTAATAATTTTTCAATTCTGCTGTGACACCCTTAAATTTTGTCTTGATCAATTCATGAGTTGGTGTTAATCTATATGAGCCTATCGGAATTGAGGCACATTAAAATTCAATAGATTAAACTATATATGATAATCTCTCTAATTCTGAGAAATTTTTAGCTGGCAGTTACGCAGGAATTTCTAATGAGTCTTCAAAATTAATTTCTTCATCTGTTCTAAATACTATGTGTTCATGTTATCCTGTAAATGGCTCTCTTAAAGTTTCAGCTCTTTAAGCAAATTCTTCATTATATTTTGGTAATTCAGCAAAATGATAATTATTGGAACTTATTAATATTAGATGTTTTGTACCTCCAAAAAAATTTCTTCAATGGGAATTCATATTATCCTTTATATTGAATTCCAAGAGCTATATAATAATCTTTTTCTACTCCTTCAACTCTACCCCAAAATAGGACTTCATCAAAAACATAATGTTCTTGTATTTTGAGTATTGCTAATTGTAATCTCATTCTATTTGTATTAATAAATTGAATACCTTTCTTCAAGATTAAGTGTCTAACCTATTTAATGTACAAATTTCAAATCATTAAATGAAATATTCATTATATTAATTAATGCTTAAATTAAAGAGGGAGTATTTTAGAAATTCAATTCAAAAATTGGCTAGAGAAGAAATCTTTAAAAAGAAAAGAATTGTTACAAGTAATAACACAAATTATGAGAGTAATCCATTTAATGAAAGTAATGAATTTATTTTGAATTGAAGAGTTGAATTAATTATTTGAATCAGAATTAACCATCTTAGATATTGCCCATAAATTAGAATAATTATATGAGGAGTACAAGTTATTTCCTGAACGAAATACCCTAGTACAACGACATAAATTAAATTTAGGTTCTTTCTCAAATTAAAATATTAAGTATGAAGGTGGCTACAATGAAAATACAAGAACACATAAATGACTTCTATAACTCTATTAAAAGTAATCATTCTCTATAAGTAAGACAATATATTACCTGAATTAATTAAATACTGTTCCCCAGTCTATGCAGATGATGTAAACACAGTAGAGCTAACAAATAATAGTTTATGGATTTTGATTAACTTAACACTTGCAGATGATTGTGTGAATTATCTATTGGATTATGCTGATTTCTTAGAATAAATCAACTTTCTAATTAAATCAAAATATGAAGTAATTGTTCATAGAGTTTTTGAATTGATATTCAATATGACAGTAGAAGAATAAGCATGTGACAGAATTCTAATCCATTCTAATTTTGATGAAGCATTTTTACATAGATTAAAAAGATAAAATTCAGAAATGATTATGAATTTAGCAGCCTCAATAATCAAGAATTTTTGTAATAACTTTAGAAATGAACATTTGCAAAAGATCTTAGATTTTATATTCTATTGTATTAGAACTGAAAGTGTAAATGGCTTAAGTTATATGATTACAGAAGAATATTGTGCACAATTTTTAACTATCTATAAAGGCCTTTGTATCAAATTATTTACTCACCCCAATCATTCTATAAATTTTATTAATTACTTATCAGCACATTCATCCAATGAAGTTCTAGATGTATATAATATAATTTATTATAGTTATTACTTGATTATCCCATTGTGGATGAATTAATCCGTATTAAGAATTCTAATCATTAGGTTAAAGTGTACTCTACATTCTCCAATCTAGCTACACATTAACCATTTCATAATGAATTAAGAGTACTCTTCTAAGGAATTTACGAATAATATGAAAAATCAGATCTAAAAATGAAATTGGAATTAGGTTATTTTGTTTCTACATATATTGTAAATTGTGATCCTACATTTTATGGAGATTTAATCAATAATGGAGTTATTAATTTATTAGTTGATTTCTTTAAAGAAATCTATGATCCAAAAGCAGTTTATTTAGCTTTATAGGCTGTACTCCACTTATTTATTAATGAAAATTCAAAATAAATATTTGAAAAACTGGGTGGATTCAAACATTTGGAAAAACTCAGATAAAATGACAATATTATCGAATTAGCATCCAGATTAAATTGAATCTATAATTGATAGTTATAATTTAATTTATCATTAATGTCTAAATAAGAATTTAAAAATTACTCATCATAGCAATCAGCATAATCATTTAAATAAGAATCTGAATATTCTATGTACCATAAAGTTGTTTTAGGAGATGGTGTATTTTATATATCAATATATTAGATTCCATCTATTAGGGAGAATGGTAAAACAATTTAAGACATGGTAAAGGAATTCAAATCTATCCTAATGGTAATCTAATTAATCTAAAAAAGGTATTATTTTTGAAGGAATTTGGGAAGATCATAAAATAGTTGGAAAAGTTATTAAGATTGATGGTGAGATAATAGACTGTGTTATTGAGAATAATTAAATTGTTTAGAGTTCAAAAATCATTTTGTAAGAAGACCTAGAACATTTACTAAATCTAAAATTAGAAAAAATTTACACTTCAGAAATAATCTCATAAATAATACAAAACAATTTAAACTTTTAACAAATCACTTTAGAAGGAATTGAATATCAAGGACAAATACTCAATGATACCAAACATGGATTAGGAGTTGCTAAATTTTAAGATGGTAATCAAGATGGTTAAACAAAATTAGGTTCTGTTTATTAAGGTCAGTGGAAAAATAATAAATAGCATGGTTATGGGAAGAAAATCTATTAAAATGGGGATATCTATAGTGGGTATTGGTATGAGGGGGAAATATATGGCTATGGAGAATATCATTATTAATAAGGTGCGACTTATGTTGGGTATTGGAAAAATAGTTTGAAACATATTTATGGTAAGGAATCATGGATTGATGGAGCCTCTTATGAGGGAGAATACTATGAAGGAAAGAAGAATGGAAAGGGTAAGCTCATTTTTCAAGATGGATCCTATTATGAAGGGGAATTTGAATTGGATGACATACATGGATATGGATAATATCATTGGATAGATGGAAGAAACTATGTTGGAGATTGGGTCTATAACAAGATGTGGGGGATAGGCAAGACAACATGGGCTGATGGTAGATCATATGAAGGAGGGTACTTTTATAGAATTACAATAGTTATATGGATGATAAAAAATAAGGATTAGGAACATTTATTTGGAATGATGGTAGAAAATACATTGGAGAATGGAAATAAGGGAAATAACATGGCATTGGATTATATTAGGCTCCTTCTGGTGAATATAGATATGGAGAGTGGGCAGAAGGAAAAAGAGTCAAATGGTTGGATTTATAGGAAGATAAGGAAATAATAGATAATTTTTTGAATAAGAATGCTGAGATCGAACATAAAAATGGATCATTTTACAATAGCCATATATCTGATTCATCTCTGAATGGAAGCGATAGATCTCATGGCAAAAAAGTTTATTAGTTAACATTATCAGACAGTAAATATTAAGTGAATGATTAGAGAGTGTTTATATAGGAGAATTGTTTAAGTAGAAGAGGGAAGGATGGGGGAAATTGATATGGAAAGATGGTAAATTATTCAATGATAAAATTATTTAGGGTCAATTTATGATGGAGAGTGGAAAGATGATGAATGTAATGGCTTTGGAAGATATATTAGTTGCGAAGGTGATGTTTATGAAGGAGAATGGAAACATGATAAGGCTAATGGACATGGTATATTTACAAACAGCGACGGTGTTGTTTATGAAGGTAATTGGAAGAATGATAAATAAAATGGTTATGGCAAATAAACATGGCCTGATGGACTCTATTATGAAGGATAATTTTTGGAGGGTAAGAAATAAGGATTTGGAAAGATGATATATCCAGATGGGTCTTATTATTAAGGAACTTTTGTAAATAACTAAATAGATGGGGAAGGTTTGCAAGTAAATATAGATGGAACTAGATACGAAGGTTCTGTTAAAAATGGGATGAGACATGGAAGAGGAACTCTGATAAGTCCAGATGGAAACATATTTATTGGAAAGTAAAATGAAAATTATGTAAGTTTAGTTTTGAATTAGACAAACAAGTTGGAGAAGGAAGGGTGGAATACCATAATGGTAAATTATTTTTTGGAGAATGGGTGAATGGGGAGCGTCATGGTAAAGGAAAATACATTTACAAGGATGGCAGAGTCGTTGATTGTATGTGGTATAAAGGAATGAAGATAGAAAAATGATAATATATATATATATATTACACAAGTTTTTTTGCTACTCAAAAAAAAGATTTGTATTAATATTTAATATGGCCACAAAAAGAAAGTATTAAAGGATTGTAGTTGATGACTAAAAGCCTGATTTGAATGTGATTAGGGTAGCTACTAAGGCTTAATTATCAAATCAAGTCAGAAAAGCTTTATGGCTTCTTTAAGGAACCCGTAAAGAAGATCAACCCCCCGTTCAAGATACAATCTACATCACAGCTATCGAAAATGCCATCTCCAAAGCAGTTATTATTGCAGAAGTTGTTAGAAGAAGAATTGCTGGAATATATTAAATAAACAAAATCTAAACTGTCTAGATTAATGAAGAATATGAACCAATTGAAGAAGGATTAGTGAAAGTCAAAGTCACTAAAAATTTGGCCTCTTTACAAATCAAATTGACAAAGACTCCAACCGAATAAGATAGAAAAGAGCCTGGATTCCTTGTAAAAATATAATTTTAATATTTAGGAACCATTGCCTGCTGATTAAGTTCAACCAACCAGAGAAAGAAACGACAGATAAAGAAGTGGAAGCAGAAGACCAAGAAATGATAGCTAAAGAAATACTAGAGATAGAAGAGACAACAGAGATAGTAGAGATTATAAAGACAGAAGAGATAATAGAGACAATAGAGATAATAGAAGAGAAGACAGAAGAGATAATAATAGAGATAACAGAGATAACAGAGACAACAGAGACAACAGAGACAACAGAGATAGAAGAGATAATAGAGATAATAGAGATAATAGAAGAGAAGACAGAAGAGATAATAATAGAGATAATAGAGATAACAGAGACAACAGAGATAGAAGAGATAACAGAGACAACAGAGACAATAGAGACAATAGAGACAACAGAGATAATAGAGACAGAAAAGATAACAGAGATAATAGAAGAGATGAGAGAAGAAATCCTCCATAGAATGAAGCCAACAGTGAAAGACCCACAACCTAAAAAAGTAGAGGTGCTCCAAGAACACAACAATAAAGTTGATTATCAATAATAAAGAATAAAATATAAAGATTTTCATGGTATCTATAATTCTATTGTTATTATAAATCAAAGTGATTCTCTAAAATCTGAATTTTTCTCTCTTTGATTTGTAATTTAGTTAAGAAATGAAATTAATCTTTCTTTTCAAATTTAAAATACACAATCATATCCCAAACATTATTTCTAACTCTATGAAATAAATTGGATATTATCTAAGACTTAAATTCATCAATTCATATAATTATTATTTTATTATTCCATATTTTTATTTTATAATCACTTCTCTTTTCAACCTTTAATATTATCCCTTTGATTTTGTTACATTTTAGCTCAAATTTGATTTTCTCTAGCATAAATTAAATTTTATTCCATTTGTTCTTGCATTCAACAGAAAAATTTCCTAGATTGAGATTGTTTATGGCTTTTCTCAAATAATGATTCGACTGATTTCTAAAAAATATTACAAATTCACCAACTAGAATATTTTTCTATGAATTACTACTTATTGTTTTTCTATACATAATAAGGATTTTTGAATAATTTTCATTATAAAATTTGTTCAACAAAGTTTTCTATGCTTAAAATCCTTAATTCTATATACATTTTTTTATAGATGTCTATTAAATAGATTATGCTCGCATGAAAAATAGAGTATTTCCAATAGTATTTATAAATAAATTAGTTATTGTTGATACTTTGTTAAATAAATATTTATAGTGAATCATAATTTTTAAGTTAAAAAGAAATCAAGAATAAGAGAATGCTTGCTCATTAATCAACCTGTTTATATTTTGATTAACTGAATAAATTTCCGTAAATTCAATAAATTTGTAATTGCTCTCATAATTAAAAAATTAAATATTTTATATATTTTATAAATCAAAAGCAGACTCAATCAATTATTTTTATCAAAATGTGAATGAGTAAAAAATTTGTAAATATTCTTTAATTCATAATTTACCCACCAAATTTTATAGAATTATTAAAGGTTGTTTTAAATTAAGAATATACTTATGAGGTTTTACAGTAATTTATTACAATAAATTTATTACTTTAAAATGGAATGCTTTTCCAATTCTTGGATTTTCTGTTTATGAAAGATGAAGAGTAGATTACAATAAAGGAAGATGTAAAAATCACTAAATATGAAGTTATATTAATGCTAATTTGAAAGTAGTAATTTCAATTTAACTTATCCTTAGATTGGCTAAGGTAAGAAATTACGCAATTTTCTGTTGAACATTTTAAAGTCTTCATATTGAATTGTGTATTACATAAAAATTAAAAGATACTTAAAAGTTCGAGAACTTTATTCTTATTATTTATAAATTAATGTGAAAAAATTTGTTTACAAATGGATTGAAATCCATTGTCGTAAAACATTTTTGAAATAAAATTAGTTAACTTCAAACCTTCTTTAACTCTTGTATCGTATGGTCAGTAGCTTTTATGATTTCCCCAGCTAATTTTGATATTAAGCTGAATGATCTGTTAATATTATTTATTTTGGTGAATCCACATCTCTGGTTGGACTTGTATTGTACATTCTATAGAATAACATTGCATCTATGTTGACTAATGACAGTTTTTGCTGCGGCATAGTTAATTTTAAGGTGTTTAGCGGCCTAAATTAAGAATTATATATTACATGCTTTATTTTGATTCCCTGATGGAACACTAGCTTTACAAGGTTCTATCTCTTTATTTTTGAAACTTTTTCATATGGCCTTTTGGTGGAAGAATCTTTTTTCATTAAAATTTTGGATTTAAATTTATTACAATTTTTAGCTAATGGCCATTAGGTTTTAGTGATACATTTATAAATCGTATTACGTATGATTTGAAAAAAATATATTTTGGATCAATTAGAAATATTTTTAGAATTAATAAATATTATATTGAGTTTAAACATAAATTTATTTTGTTCCTAAATAAAAGAAGTATGTATTTTATAATAATAATATATGATTAATATGATTATTTATAATAAATATCCCAAAAGAAATTAAACAAATAGATAAATGAAAATTTCACATAGAGAACTTATTTTTGGAATTTTAAGTATTTTCTAAAAATTCAAATGAAAAATGTTAATTTCTATCATTTCTATGTATAGATTCATATGATGAAGTGAAAATAGTGATTTAATATTTGAAGTCTATTAGGTCATTTTTAAGTTACTTAATAAGAAAATTAATGAAATTTATATATAATATATATATATATATTAAAAGAATATAATAATAATATAATGAATATTCTAGTATTAATATATTTTGGAATGAGTTATGCCAATACACCAGTAAAGGAGTATGGATAGTGTTTGGATGAAACCTTAGCTTAATCTCCAATATAGTTAAAGCCACCATTCGGACATATTGGTTGATTTGTGTATTAATAAACCTAGAACTAAAATTGGAATTTGAGTTTTTGGAAGCTAGAGATTTATAGATAAAACATACAGGATACGAATTAGTGTGTTAAGGAGCATTCGGTTTTGTGAAGCACAATAATAAAATATTTAATGCCTATCAAGTAAAATTTAAATCTCCATCAGAACACTCATTGTCAGAAAACGATTATTTTTATCCAATAGAAATGCAAATATTTTTAATATCATAATAAAAGTTTAGAATAGGTTTCAGTGTTTTCTTTCGTTTAAATAAAGATCACACTGAAAATGCTTTATTAGCAAAGTTTGGATTTGGAAAGAACATAATCAAGGAACTATAGCCAGGAGATTTTTATGTAGTTCCTGAAGCAATAGATTTGGGAGTATTATTTGATGATACAGGTATAAATATTATAAGTTGATCAATTAGATAAATTTCTAGTTTATTAAGGAAGTGATACATTCCCTCCTTGTGGTTAGATGGTCTGGTTAACATTATTTAAGATATATGATATGTCTTCCAATCAAGCTATTGACTTTCCTGAACTTCTGCTTTATTCAGTTAGAGAATAGAAGGAAATGAAAAGACCAATTTATGCAAATTTTGATCCAGCCTTATTCATTATAACAGATGGTGAAATGAATACTAAATAGGATCTGAAAACTTAAAGAACCAGGAATCAAGTTGATAAAAAGGTATGTATAACAATTCCAAATAGCTTGTGAAAGATAATTTTTATATATATGGAGCTGGTGAAGGTTTAGAATTAGATGGATTTGTATTTACTGCCTCAGGATAGTCAGGAGGGAAGATAGTAAGAACAGAAGATTTCTTTATAATCAAATTGAAACCAGAAGCAAAAGATGTTTAAGAGGATGTAAAGGAAATAGAGTAGTAACAAATTGATTCTTAATCACAATAAGAATAGACTGAAAATAACAACATTGAATAACCAATTGATGTTTAAGAAAATAGTATTCCAGAAGATTTTGAAGAGACTGATTATGAAAGTAAGGATGAGACAAAGGAACCTTAAGAATTAAGTGGACAAGATAATTCAAAAGAGGGAGGAGATTCTGATAGAAAAAGTAAATTGGATTTACATTCAAGAATTAAGGAAAGACAAGCAAGCAAGAGTAAAGATTTGATAAATTAATATAATGAGAATAAAGTAAAAGAAAAACAAGAATAATAAATTTAAGATTAAGAAGTAGAAGGTGATATCATTTAAGAAATAGATCAATAGAAAAATTGGCCTAGGTTATGCTAAACAGGAAAATCATAATCCCCCATCATACTTGATTTAAGGAATCTTCTTAAATAACCAATAAAAGAACCTATATTATCATATTATTTTGTACCAAAAGAACTCTATTTAAGCAATGATGGATATCAATTAAAATTAATTAGTGATCCTGGAGGTTTTGGAGCTATGAGTTGGAATGGGAAAATATATTAGGCTCTTGAATTGAATTTTCATACACCTTCTGAACATACTATTGGTGAAAACTAGTTTAGAATGAATTGCGAAATCTAAATTATGCATAAATCTATTGATGGAGATATTCTATATTTAGTTCTCTTTTTACATAACACTTATCCAAATGAGAGTAATGAGTTTTTAGAATAAATTGGGTTACCATCTTCAAAAAGTATAAATTATAGAGCTGTCGAAAAAGGAGAATTAATTCAAATTAATAAAGATATCAAACTTGCTGATTTGGTTAGAGATGTTTCTGAATTTGTATACTATACAGGATCTTTGACAGTACCACCTTGTGTTGAAAATATATAATATATCATTAGAAGAAGTAGATTGCCAATCTCCTTGACATAAATTGAAAATATGTAACGTTTAATAGGTAAAAAAGAAAATTTTAGACCCATTCAAAATCTGAATGGAAGAAATTTATATACAAATTGAATATCAAGAAATCATTAATTTTTTTAATTTCTATAAATAAAAATATCTATGCAAAGCTCTTTGGGACCTCCTACCATAATGAGAACTTCAATAAAGAAAATCTGTCTTAAAGAAGGTTGTCATTAACCTTTCGACATTAATGAAGATAACATTCGTAATCATGACTCTCATCGATTATAAGTGCACGTAGTTTAGGATTTAGTTTAAAAGTTACACGAAAGAAATTTGAAGAATAAAGAAGAACTTGGACACATTCAAAATAAATTATTTTTAAAAATTGAATAAAATGAAAAGGCCATTATGGCATTGAGAAGTGGAGATAGGAGCTTACTTATAGAACATTTATCAAATTTAACAGAATAATCTGAGTCATTAGGTAATCCATTAATTGAAAGAAATAACTTAGAGTCTTATGACAATTTATTTTTTAGTATTATAAATATTCTACTTAGGTACCAGACGACAAGTAAAATTTGAGAGATTAGATGAAAATTATAATAAAAATTTTAGAGCAATGTTTAACGAATTAGTTAATGCCTAAATTTTTTAAAATTGCTAAATCAATTGTCAAAATCATGGTATATACAGAATAGATAGGTTCGATTTAGCACCAAATATTGATAAATAAAAAAGATTACTTTGCCAAAATGATTAAAGGGTAAGAGCTCTAAACTTTGAAATGTGCTAAAATTTATTAGATAAATATAACTAACAAGAATTGTATTTATAATTACTTATCTCAGGTGCTTTGAAAAGTTACATTAGATAAAAGGATTGATATTTTCCTTAAGATTTAATTTAGATCGAATTACAAATAAGATTTTGACTGAAGTTTAAGGCTTAATTAACAGTAATTTTAGATATTTTGAATAAAATCAAAAGGATTTTTAATACCAATTCAGATTTGGAGAAATAATTCCTAAATAAACTTATGAAAATCTAGCTGAATTTTTATCTGTAAACGGACAAAATCTGCCATTAAAAAGTAATTAGATAAGTAATATTGAGTAATTTGAGTAAATTTTGGATTAAATTAAAACATCAGTTGTGAAAATTCACACTAACTTTGGAAATTTTCTTGATCAATTAAAACCTTCAATTATAAAAATCACTATTGAAACGATTATAGGTTAAGATGCTCAAATTTAGTATCTAGAAGTTCAACCTGGAGCAACATTAGCTGAGTTATTTAACTACCTTAGAGATGATTAGAATTGGAATTATTAGATAACTTAGGCAGAGATTGTCATTGATCATCTCAGATTAAATCTATAACAAAGATCACCTGAATAAGTAATTCTTCAAAATGATAATGATATTTAAATATAATTTCGTAGATGATAAAAAATTATAAACATAAAAATTATTAGATATATAAATTATGTAAAATAATCATACCAACAAAATTCTCTTATCATCAACTTTATTCTTTCTATTTTTAAAGCATTTAAATATTATAAAACCAAATATTAATACACCAATGATAATTAAGATTATTGCCCATATAGGGAAGTTGTTTTTATCATCATCTTCTGGAGGTCCAGGTTATGGAGGTTTTTCATTTTCTTATGATATAGTAACATTTAAAGTAGCTATAACATTTGAGTTAGAATTTTAAAGAGACAATTTAATGATTTCATTAGCATATTAAACAGAAACACAAACTTATGGGGATCGTTTTAATGTGTAATGCTATAATTTTGTTTCTTCATCTGCTGTTGCCAATAAATGTAATTGCCCATTCCAATTGTAGACAAATGATTACATTTAATAAAAATGGCCTGGTATTTTACTAGTAGGACCAATCAGATGAGCTATAGCAAGTTTAGGGTTTTGTTTGCTACTTGAACTTTCAAGATCAAAAATGAGTAACTCAAATTTATTATATGCAAAATACACCATAGATAAGATATTTTCATTTGAATATATTATAGGATAGAGATTGAACAACATCCATCCTCCATATTATTGATAAACACCATTCAATATAAAGTATTTGAGATCACATAATTTCTTACTGAAACAATCAAATTCAAATTTGAATGAATATGTAGCTATAGTATTATAGACAATAATTATTTAATTTTTTCTTAAAACCAGTCCAACACATATTGAATTTCCAGTTACATATAATTAATTTTGTTTAAGTATACTAATAACATCTTAAAAGAATATCTAATTATCACTTGATGTTCTGGAAATCACTATATTATTAAAGTATGCATTCCCTCTCACATCCACAGAAATAGCCTAATAAACATCATCGCGTAGATGCTGGAATTCAACAAAAAATGGCTAAGATGATATAGTAAATTTATTGAATTATTCAAATGCTGAAACTTTGATGGGATCACCTTTTGTATCATATACAAATATGTTGGGATATGAATAAATGAGAAAATTGTTTTGATGAAGGAAAACTTTAATGATATTTGTTGGGAATAGTAGTTCATCTTCTAAGAATTTACAATTAGAATCATTGCATTCGATAACCTTTAAGAAAATCAAAGTTTCTTTATAAGCTTCAACATATATATACTAATTTTAAATAAATAATAACTTATTGATCTTATAAGTTTTATCCAAAGTGATTTCTATCTTACTCAAATCAGACTTTTTTACTAAGACAATTTTATCCTCCATCAATTAAACTATTGTTTCAGTATTCAATTATTATATATATGGACTAAATTCTAAAGTTTCTGGTTATTTTGTTAATGTTTTAACATATTTAATCTTTTATGAATTTTCACTCTATGTTATATCAAAGGCTTAACCACTATACCATGATTGATCCAAATTAATACAATGGTTTTGAACACCATCTGCTTTATATGTTAAATTCAATGAACTTTTAGTCTAAAATATTGAAACACCTCTATTAACTATTAGAGCTGGAACTACTTAAGTTTTAATAGTTTAGGCATCATTTTTAATTTAGACAGTTAAGCTAATTTCTTTAGAATACTCAATCTATTAATAATCATCCTTTAATTGAGATTAAACTAAGTTATCTCCTATGATATAGTAGTTTTATTGCATTTGTTTATTTGCAATAGAATCAGTAATAAAACAATAATTATGAGCAATTGTAAATTAAGCAGTAGACGTATAATCTATGCTTACAAACATAGTATTTATACTATTCTCATCAACTTTATATACTAGTAGTTTTTATTATCCCATTTGTTATCCAACAATATAAAATAAGTTTTACTTAAGATTAACTTGAATTTATGATAAATTTATAATAGAATAATTATTAATATTAATTATTTTCTCCTAATAAATATTATTAATATTCTAATAATTAAATACAGTAGCTTTGTATTCTTCTTTACCTTTTGATTTTATTAGTCTAGCAAAATGATTTCTAAAAATTAAAATGTTCTTTTAATCATTATTACAGTCGATATCCGTGAACCAAATCAATGTAAATTTTTCGTATTGTAAAGAATAGATCTTCAATTAGCCATCCTACTCAATAAATAAAAGATCTTATTATGCTTGAGATGCATATATATCCCCTATGATATCTTAAGTATATAGTAAGGTTGCTTTGTTTTCAACAGATATCATATATATTTTAATTGATTATTGCAATTAGACAAACAAGTAATTACCATCAGTTGCAATAGATATGGGATTATTTTCAAATCTGATTGTTGTCAATATATCAAATTTTTATTATTAATAATAGACACAATAGATAGTGATTGTTGAATCTTGTAATATTGCTAAGAATATCGAATTATAATTAAACCACCAAAGCTATTTATCAGAGTCTTACAATAAATCGAATTGTCTCTGAGTAAAAATAGATTAACAATTTAATTTAAGAGTTGATATGATCTCACAAGTGTATCCACTTATATATTTATTGTTATGTTGTTATATTATTTAAACATATGGATTATTTAAATTTGATAATGATTTCCTATAGATAACCTCAGAAACATCTCCTAAGTTTACGATTTCAATGGCTTGGAATTATTCCACTTTTAGATTGAGAATTTCATGTTTTGAAAATTCATATTTTAGATTAGATCCTTAATAGATGGATTTCAACTTAACATCTACATTATCTTAAAATACACTTCCTGCAATCAATGCTTAAGGTACTTAGGATGAATACATCTCTATAGATTCAAAGTTAACAACCATATAATAGACATCAATAACACAGTAAGTGTTTTAAATAAGTGTTGTCATTTTATAATCCTTCTCAATAGGTAAAGAAGCAGATAAAAATTGTAATGAATATTCACTATTTATGGCATATCTGTAAAAGTTATCATCATCAAAAACTAAAAATCCATCAGAGTTTGGATGTGAACTGATTTTATATTGAGAATCACCTAAAGTCTTAGTTTAGATATTATATAATTATTATGAATATAAAGCTAGAGTCTAGTCTTAAATTACTATAATTGAAGTTCTTTGTAATAAAACCTTATCTGAAACCTTGCAGTTGATGTCTATGGTAAATTCTTATTAAGTAATTAATTTATGATATAGCTATGTTTTTGAAAGGATAACATATGTATTTTTATAAACATCAAGATCATAAGTATAAACATCTGGAATCTTTGTATCAATCTTACTAATTAATTACCATTTATTCTCCTTAAATTATAAAATAATTAATTCTCCAGATGCATTCAATATACTAATCTATCCATTTGTATGAGTTTTAAACTCTCTTATTTATAGTTCAAATTAGTCCTGCTATAATAGAATTTTCATTGCAGCTTAGTCAAGGCTATTTAATAACACCAGTGTTTCTCCTTATTCTTAATATAGCTCTAACTTATCTATAGTACCTCTGAATAGATATTAATCTATCGTATCTAATTTTCTAAAAGTATCTTAAGGCTTCTCAATTGTTAAATAAGTATGTGGAGATTAATCAATTTTAAAAATACTAAAGTAATCTCCTTCGTCATTAGAACATTCCGTAATAATTAAATTTGTCAACAAAGCTATATCATAACATTTAGAATTTGCTCTACTAGTACTTGGATATACAGCATCTAAATTAGGTGAATTAGAGTATTATTTCAAGTTGTATTCGCAATAATAAACTCCTTCACTAAGTCTTAGTATAGCCATATAATGTTATGGTTCACTAAATTTAGTTGATTTTAACATTTTAATTGAAATTGTCTAACCTTTTACTCCATCTATAGAAATTGTCTCTAATTCTTACAAAGGAGTTGCAATTGTAAACTAAGGAACAACAGGTTAAAAAATAATCTAATCATATTCATTGGAATAGAATATCTAAGACAAAGGAATTTTGATTGTCTCACCTGGAGTTGAAGTTATGAAAAGCTTATTGTCTTACAAATTCGAGCATTAATGTGAGAGGATAATGAAGGTACTAAGGATTAAGTGAATTTAAATCATTTTAATTATATTCAAGATTCAAAAGATCTTTTTAATGCTTAGGTTAAATTCTGAATACATACTGAATAATTTATTCAACATTATTCATAATATCATTCCACATATCATCAATTTCGATCTTTTATTAATTTTAATTATTTACACACAAATATAATTAGATCAGAAATTAGTATAATCCTTGATGATTAGATATCCAAAAATTTGTAATAATCTCTTTTTTCATTTTAATTGATGAAATCCAACTTAGAGGAATTTGATCTAATATATAAGATTAAATACTAAGGGTTTTAATGAGCCTTATTGTAGAATACAAAATAGGATTGGAAATTATCTTTTTATATTTTTTCTGATTTTATTAGAAAACAATTAAACTTAGACGATATAGTCGTTCAAACCATGCTTTCAGTCTTCAATTTTATTTTAATCTATACATACTTCTTCTTTTATCCAAAGAAATAAAATTATCTATCTTAAGTGTCAAGTATTTCTAGAATGTGATCATACTTTAAGCGATTCTTGTTCTATAAGATATACATAAATCTAAAATTTATAATTGAGAATTGTTAAATTATATTAATAAAGTTAAATCTTCCTAAAATTTTTTATTTAATTATTAATCAATGAAGTATAAATTTTTTGTGCTTTTTGAAAATAATTTTTTATCTCTTATATAAATATTTATTCTTGAAACTTCACAAATTTAATGAAATAATACATGAGTATATTTGGTGTATTAAAAATCATTAACATAAATTGCTAAGATTCTTAGAAGACTTATTTTATTAATCATTTAATCTTTTGATGAAAATTATAATTATTATTTAAATAAGATTCTACTGTTAAAACAGCATCTTATTATATATAAAACAAATAACTGAATGAAAGCATATTTAACAGCTTAGACTTAAAAATTATAAATAAGAATCCAAAATTTCAGATATAGAATTAATTTATTTATAATCCTCAAAATTGGGAAGTAAGTTTACATAGCAATACCTAAAAATTTTAATTGTTTTTGTTAGTGAATGTAGATTCATATTTTAATCAATAGAATGTCTAAAAAATGAAAACTATATTATTAAATCAATTGTGAAAAACATCTTTTAAATATCAAGTGAAATTTATATTCAAATATATACGATTACCATTTGATTTTATATAGAGTAATTTTGAAAAGGTTAGCTGGGACTAATCAAAAAATATACAATTATAGATTATCCTAAAATACTTTTTACTCTATAAATGTGTAATTATATTAAAGCAGTGTAATTATTAATAAAATTATATATTAAAAATACTTTGTCAATATTATTTCAAAAATTATAACTTAAATTAATAAATTTATTGTGCTATTCTGTTTTGCTAATAGCCAAAAAATTATTTATAACTTTATGTTAAGAAATGGAAAATTTTATGTTTAACTTTAGTTGTAATTATTTACTTTGTAAATAAGATTCTGAATGAGATTTTAATAATATTGAATATTTATTATTCATTCCTTGTATTTTCTATTTTAATTTCTTTATCTTAATAGTCCCATGTAACTTAATATTACTCATCATTCGTCATGGCACCATATAGATAATTATCAAAATTTTGAATATATTAGACTGGAATAAATTCTAGATAATCAATAATTTTAATAATATTAATAGTTCTTCCATTTTTATGTAACAATATTTATTTTTCTTTATTAAATTATTAAGGAAAGAAATCACATCTATTATCATCTGACTTTATCTTTATTGATTTGGATTTAATAAATTGGTGTGTTAACTTATCTAATTCATATATATGCAAAATTTCTTCTTCTTGAGGAATCATTTAGACTTATAATCTTTACTTCTTTTTGATGACCCATCAATGTTTTTTGAAGTTTCCATAGATTATTCTATTTAATCCAAAATCTAATTGTGAGATCATCTCTACCCGAGATAATTAAATCTTCTTTGATATTCATTATTAATCCTCCTTTTATATAATCTGTATGTCTATTTAATATTTAATCACAATACCAATGTCTTTTATCATCCCCTGACCAAATTATGATTAAATTGTGATTGCATCCAGACACAAATTGTAGAGCCTTTTTCATAAAATAGAGACATCTCACATATTCCTTATGTTCAGTTAATTATTATGTTTCTTTTAAACTTCCATCTTTGAACTCAAATAATTTTATCATACGATTTTATCTAACAACCAATACTGAAGAATCCAAAGAAAAAGCGAAAGAAAAACATCTATCTTATTTGATGTAATTATATAATTCGAATTAAGGTTTGTCATTCGAAAGTTCAGTTAATTGATTTAAAGATTAGTAAGAATTTTGAATGACCATACTATTCTTATTAGAATTAAAATTGCTTTTGATAACTTAAAGATTCAAGTTCTCTAAGAATGATTTTAATTAAATTAATAATTGTTAAATTTTGTTTTCTTTTGCTCTTGATTCTAATTCAATTTAATCCATAGACTAATTCAGATATTTAACAACAATAATATTATAAACTATAAGTAATCAGTCATAATTTAGCAAATTGTTTACAAATAATAATTCAATCAATAGTTGTTTTTTTTAGAATTCTTTTAACAGAAAAAATTATTTAATCTAAAACACTAACACTAACCAATAAAATAGTGTTAGTTTTCATTTAAATGTATATTGAATTAACAGAAAGACATAAATAAAAATCATATATTAAACAGTTATATATTTTATGGATTATAAATAAAAAATATTTAATGAAAATTAATCAATCTAATAAGAAAAATCCCATAATTTTATCTCTCAATATTTCTTCCTAATGATATATAAAATTCTAAAGATTTTTTGAACTCTCTTATGATTAATTATACGAATAATTTGTAATTATTAAATGTTTATTGACTAATTTAATCACTGTAAATCATAGATATCTAAATGATGTTTCATTAGGATATCCCCAGCAGGAAATAAAAAGGATTTAAGCAACTATCTCAATTATCCTTCTTTTAGTTTTGATGTAGAAGGACCTAAAAATAATAATATTGGTATAATCTGCTACATTAATCTATTATCAAGCTTCACCAACTGAATACTGATGAAATCCCTTTATTTTAAGTCATCTAATAATACCCCTCTCTCATTTTTTAGTTTTTAAATATTTATAGTGCAAAATTAGAATTGCTATTTGATTTTAGGCAGAAAATATTGCGTCAACTTAATATTCATAATTATTGATGATTAATATTTATTAACCAATCATAAAATAATTGCTTGAATTTATAGAGCAACTATAAATGCAGATTAAAACATAAAAAAGTGGATACGAGAATATATAAATTTAATCAAATTACTGTTACTTTAACAGACAATTAATATGAATTAGAATTAAAAAATCAAAATATGAAGGTTAATATTGCTTAAATTGATGGTTATTTTTTTATATTTCACTTTTTCTACTTAATTATCTCTATTCTATAATCAACATTTTATTCCATAATATTGATTCTATATTCATTATCAAATTAACTTATATTAATTTTTTATTTTAAGTATTCTTTTGATTTATAGTATATTTATCTACCTCAACTTAAATAATTGATTTGGTAATTGTAATAACTTTATTCAGTTTTTAATGCTTTATTAGACTTGATAAAATTACAAGTATTCATAGGTTTGGCATATTTAAGAATATTTCATTTATATTATGGAATTTCTTATTGATTAATCTCTATAATTATGAATTTTTCTTATTTCAAACAACTGATCAAATTCAACCATCAAATTTTGGATAAATGAGAGAATTGTTTAGTATTATAAAGTCTTAACTATTTGGAAGATAATCTGAAACTAAAAATTCAAATGTTAAATTCTGTACTTTCATTAGCTTAACAAGTATTGGATTAGGTAAATGCTAAAACAACTCACCTATTATTAGTAACTTTATATATTTTGTAATATATAAAAAGTATTTTTTCTTCAAACATTAAAACCTTCAATCTTCAACTATTTTTGGTAAATCAAAATGTGATAATATTCACTTAATCCATTTCAAATGATCTTTGTTTACAAATGATTAAGATAGTTCTTTTCAAAAAGCAGCCATTATCAAAAAATACAGAACATCTAATATAAAACAAACAAAGTAAATGTAGTATCAGAAATGAGAAGAAAATAACATTTTTAAAATTGTTTTTGGCTTTTTGAATTTTTGAGGGATAAGTCAGAAGAGTATCATGTATAACTTCAAGATATGTGGAATCATCTTCATATAAAAACAATTTTGCGGAATATTGTCATCAAATAATTAGCTAACAAAGGATTACACACTATATAAAGGGGGATTAGAATCCTTCTAAGTTAAATATTAAAATTATGAAATATCTTCCATTAGTGATCGTATTGTTATGCTTGACTGCATACTCAAGAGTAGAATCTGTACAAGAGTTATTGGAATAAACAAAGGATTAATATCATTTAGAATAAGATATTGATACTCTTAAATCAATGTTTGAAGCTGAATTGAACACAAAGAAGGAGAAGGAGACTTCCAATTAGCCCTTAGCTTTTGCCAAAGGTATTCAATTATATTATTAAGATGATTCCATATCATAGTCTATATTGTTGGCCAAAGTAAAGAAATCTCAATATAACTCAACCAATGGTACTTATCCAAATTCAACATACAACTACACATATCAATCATCATCTACCTAATATCCAGTCTATAACAACTCTAGTAATTCATCAAATAACACAAATAATACAAATGGATCTTATTCTTATAGTAACTAAACCTACAACTATACTTATCCATCGACTTCTAATAGTTCTAGCAATTCTTCTACCTACTATAATACAACAAATTAAACTTCCAGTATAAATTACACCAATGGTTCATCAAATTATAACAATACAAGAAATAATAGATATATTCCATCAAGACTACAATTGAGGGTTAGAAACTATCCAAATTTAAGATAAGGATAAATCAAAAATAACACCTAAAATGTCACATTTTACAACTCGTCAAGTGGAACTTATGAATATGTGGTTATTTATAATAACACTGAAGTTTATGAAAACTAAACTGACACTTTCTACTATTATTATCAGAATACTACCTTAATTACTTTAGAGAGACAGTTTGATGATTATGGCAATGTGATTTACAGAAACTTCAACCTTAATTATTCTTTAATTGTAGCCTCAAACACTTCCTACTCAAGTTTTAATAACTAATAACTTGCATTTGGAACACTTGTACTTACAAATCAAACATTTTCAGGATAATACAATAGGTAAGGAAACAGCAATGGATATATATATTCAAATGATAGCAATAATCAATAATCTTATAATTAAAATAATCAATTTAATGGCTAAGCTTAATACTCTGATTAAATTGGAAATTATTCATTCAGTAGTTCCGATTATGGAGGTTCCTCTAATTATTAATAAAATGGATCCCAAACTTATTAAGATTAATTTAATTTTAATGATTATAATTATGGTTATGCTGCTGTAGACATAAATTAAAATACTTCTAACAGATACTAAAGTAGTTCATAAAGCAACAATGGATACTCTTAAACTGGAAATTAAATTTAAGGAAATAACACATCTGCTTTTCAGAATCAAAATTAATAAACTTATGACTATAGATCCCAAAGTAGTTCTTAATATAGAACTAATGAAACTTTTTCAAATACTCAATCTACCTATGCATCATCATAATCAGCCTAATCAAATAGCACTATCATCAACCATGACGGATATTCAGCAGGAAACACTAATCAACGCAATTCATAATTGGAAACCTCATATTCGAACTCATCTTCAAATAATTACAATTCAAACTCAGGTTCTTTGAATTATAACTATACTTTAACAGATACTAATGGAAATTACATAGAAAATTCAACTAACTCTTCTGGAGGTTCAAACACATCCTTTGTAAATTTATCAGGAAACGAATAAAGAAATGTATATGATTATGATAACTAAACATTTTCATATAGTTATGGATCAAATCAAGGAACCATCAATAATACTAATTCTTAATTCACAAGCGGACCAAATACTACTGTGACCATCATTGATTCATAGGTTACAACAGCTAATTCATAAAATTACCAAAATAATGAGGACCCTGTTGATATTAGTGGTCAAAGCTAGACAACCCACTCTTAATCAACAATAGAATAATCAAGGCAATAATTTAATCAATTAAGAGGATCAAAGAAATAAGTATCGGGATCATGGAAATAGGTTGAAGCCGAAGAACTTTAATAATCCAATTCAATAATAATTGAACAAGCTATTAATGAAATTAATACTAAATTCTTTCCTTTACAATTTGGATATCAGTTCGACTCAATTATTAGTGTATAAGAATAAATTGTTTCAGGAATCAATTACAAGATTTATTTAAGTTATTTAAATCCTGAATTAGAATAATAGATATATGAAGTAATCATTTATTCGATGTAATTTTACTTATTTTTAATTTTAGTCCCTGGTAAAACAAATCAAATCAAGTTATAAAATCAATTAGATTCGATTAGTTTGAGAATTGAGATAAATGACTATATCAATAAAAATAACAAATAATTTTCAACTTAATAATTTTATATTCATTAAATCTATCTATAAATTATAATAACATTATGCAAAATTTATGAATTAATTTTTATTAATAATTAATAAGGAATTATTTTTAAATCAGCATTTACTCTATATATATTCGTAATCTAAAAAAGTTAATATTCTCTAAATTATTTATTTGTTTTTCTTTATAAAAAAGATAATAAATAATTTATAAAGCGCAAATGCTTACTTAATTCATTCGAACATCATCTATTAAAGACCTTTTCTAATCTTAAACTAGTAATTTCTAAAATAATATCAAATTAATTTAATAATATTGAGTAATACCTAAAAAAAATAGTTGTTAAAGCCGAAGTTAATAAAGCTCCAAAAAATTTTTTAGCTTTGATAAAATAAATTGAATATATTCATCCTGATTAAACCAAAAAAATCTTACCCTTTAAATTAATTTAGAACATATCATTTTGAAATTAATAAAGATATAAAATCAAAAAAAAGAAGGATCTAATTAAAATTAATATTCTAATAAGCCATCTTTCCAGAAATAGTTAATGAAAAAAATAATACAAAAGAAGATGGTTATATTTATTTTTAATGAGATTAGATATAAATATATTAATTAAAAAATATCGGACAATATTCTTGGATAAAAATGATGTAATTAAGTGCTAATGACTTAAACTAAAAAATAGGTGTAGGTGACTATAAAAAACATTAATTACTTAAGGCTTACATTTCTAATATTCTTCAATTAATAAGACTCAACAATTACTAAAGACTCATTCAAAAATAAAATACTCAAAGGATTAATTAAAGTAAGAAATTTATTCGAATACAAGGTGAAAATAAAATATACAAAGTCATCCACAACAAGTTTTAAAAAATTAAAAGACTAAATGAAAAAAAATAATGTAAGTTCAATAATTCTCAATAATAAGTGAGAAAATTAAGTTAGGAAATTTAAGTTGAAAAGAAGGATTCAGAAATGTTAAATCACGTTGATGTCCCATAATATTAGTTAAGCAGAGGTATATTTCTGATTTGTAATGTTCAGGATTATCTTTATTTAATAACAATATGTTTGAAAAAGTTTTGGAATTTTATAATTCAGCTATTCAGATAAACCCTGAAAAAGCTGAATATTATAATGGCAAAGGTAAAATAGAAATTGAATGTTTACATAGCAATAACTTTAAAACAAATGAATCGATATGAAGAAGCATTGGAAAATTACAATTTAGCTATTCAGAAAAATCCTGAAAATGCTGAATATTATAATGGCAAAGGTAAAATAGAAATTGAATGTTTACATAGCAATAACTTTAAAACAAATGAATCGATATGAAGAAGCATTGGAAAATTACAATTTAGCTATTCAGAAAAATCCTGAAAATGCTGAATATTATAATGGCAAAGGTAAAATAGAAATTGAATGTTTACATAGCAATAACTTTAAAACAAATGAATCGATATGAAGAAGCATTGGAAAATTACAATTTAGCTATTCAGAAAAATCCTGAAAATGCTGAATATTATAATGGCAAAGGTAAAATAGAAATTGAATGTTTACATAGCAATAACTTTAAAACAAATGAATCGATATGAAGAAGCATTGGAAAATTACAATTTAGCTATTCAGAAAAATCCTGAAAATGCTGAATATTATAATGGCAAAGGTAAAATAGAAATTGAATGTTTACATAGCAATAACTTTAAAACAAATGAATCGATATGAAGAAGCATTGGAAAATTACAATTTAGCTATTCAGAAAAATCCTGAAAATGCTGAATATTATAATGGCAAAGGTAAAATAGAAATTGAATGTTTACATAGCAATAACTTTAAAACAAATGAATCGATATGAAGAAGCATTGGAAAATTACAATTTAGCTATTCAGAAAAATCCTGAAAATGCTGAAAATTATAATGGCAAAGGTAAAATAGAAATTGAATGTTTACATAGCTATAACTTTAAAACAAATGAATCGATATGAAGAGGCATTGGAAAATTACAATCTAGCAATTCAGAAAAACCCTGAAAATGCTGAATATTATAATGGCAAAGGTAAAATAGAAATTGAATGTTTACATAGCTATAACTTTAAAACAAATGAATCGATATGAAGAGGCATTGGAAAATTACAATCTAGCAATTCAGAAAAACCCTGAAAATGCTGAATATTATAATGGCAAAGGTAAAATAGAAATTGAACGTTTACATAGCAATAACTTTAAGACAAATGAAGAGATATGAAGAAGCATTGATATCTTATAATTCAGCTATACAATTAAACTCTCAAAGTTCAACTTATTAGTATCATAAAGGTAATACAATAATTGCAAACTAATAGCTGATATTTTAGAGAAACTGAATAGATTTGAAGAATCATTGGAATATTATAATTCAGCTATTCAGAAAAACCCTGAAAATGCTGAATATTATAATGGCAAAGGTAAAATAGAAATTGAATGTTTACATAGCTATAACTTTAAAACAAATGAATCGATATGAAGAGGCATTGTAAAATTACAATCTAGCAATTCAGAAAAATCCTGAAAATGCTGAATATTATAATGGCAAAGGTAAAATAGAAATTGAATGTTTATATAGCAATAACTTTAAGACAAATGAAGAGATATGAAGAAGCATTGATATCTTATAATTCAGCTATACAATTAAACTCTGAAAATCCAACGTATTAGTATCATAAAGGTAATACAATAATTGCAAACTAATAGCTGATATTTTAGAGAAACTGAATAGATTTGAAGAATCATTGGAATATTATAATTCAGTTCTTCAGAAAAACCCTGAAAATGCTGATTATTATAATGGCAAAGGTAAATAGAAATTGAATGTTTACATAGCTATAACTTTAAAACAAATGAATCGATATGAAGAGGCATTGAAAAATTACAATCTAGCAATTCAGAAAAACCCTGAAAATGCTGAATATTATAATGGCAAAGGTAAAATAGAAATTGAATGTTTACATAGCAATAACTTTAAGACAAATGAAGAGATATGAAGAAGCATTGATATCTTATAATTCAGCTATACAATTAAACCCTCAAAGTTCAACTTATTAGTATCATAAAGGTAATACAATAATTGCAAAATTATAGCTGATATTTTAGAGAAACTGAATAGATTTGAAGAATCATTGGAATATTATAATTCAGCTATTCAGAAAAACCCTGAAAATGCTGAATATTATAATGGCAAAGGTAAAATAGAAATTGAATGTTTATATAGCAATAACTTTAAATCAAATGAATCGATATGAAGAGGCATTGGAAAATTACAATCTAGCAATTTAGAAAAATCCTGAAAATGCTGAATATTATAATGGCAAAGGTAAAATAGAAATTGAATGTTAATCAAGCAATAACTTTAAAACAATAAAAGAGATATTCAGAAACATTGTCTATTTATGATTCAGCTATTTAGAAAAACCCAGAAGAAGCAAAATTTTATTTTTAAAAAGGTATATATATATATACATAAATTTATTTTAGCTAATACATTAAATTCAATGAATAGATATGAAGAAGCATTACTATATTATGATCTAGCTATTTAAAGAAACTCAAAAGATTCTCAATATTATATATGCAAAGGTCTATATAAAACTCTATACTAATAGCAAATAATTTATATGATATGAATAGATATCATAAAGCTTAGGAATAATATGAATTAGCAATCAAGATTAACCCAGAAGATGCAAATATTTATTTATGCAAAGGCAATATACATCAATTTTTAAATTAATAGCAAATAACTTATATAATATGAATAGATATGAAGAAGCATTGGAATAATATGACTTAGCCATTTAGAAAAACTCTGAAGATGCAGATTATTATAAATGCAAAGGTTGAAATTATTTTCTAAACTTGATAGCGAATAATTTACATAAAATGTTTCGATTTAAAGAAGCATTGGAATCTTACGATTTAGCTATTTAGAAAAATCCAGATGATGCAGAATTTTATTATGAAAAAGGTATGGCTTTTTATTTAGCTATAATATTAGCAAATACTTTAGATGAAATGAATAGATTAGAAGAAGCATTGGATAATTATGATTTAGCCATTTAGAAAAACCCAGAATAAGCAGATTATTTCAAATGTAAAGGTACCAATAGTAATCCACAATTGTTATAGCTATCACGTTAGATAAAATGAATAGATTTTAAGAAGCATTAGATTATTATGATTTAGCTATTTATAAAAATCCAGATGACGCAGACTATTTCAAATGCAAAGGTAATAATATTTATCTACAATTTTTATAGCTATCGCTTTAGATAGTTTGAATAGATATTAAGAAGCATTGTTCTTTTATGATTAAGCTATTTAGAAAAACCCAGAAGAAGCGGAATTTTATTTTGAAAAAGGTATATATATATATACATAAATTTATTTTAGCTAATACATTAAATTCAATGAATAGATATGAAGAAGCATTACTATATTATGATCTAGCTATTTAAAGAAACTCAAAAGATTCTCAATATTATATATGCAAAGGTCTATATAAAACTCTATACTAATAGCAAATAATTTATATGATATGAATAGATATCATAAAGCTTAGGAATAATATGAATTAGCAATCAAGATTAACCCAGAAGATGCAAATATTTATTTATGCAAAGGCAATATACATCAATTTTTAAATTAATAGCAAATAACTTATATAATATGAATAGATATGAAGAAGCATTGGAATAATATGACTTAGCCATTTAGAAAAACTCTGAAGATGCAGATTATTATAAATGCAAAGGTTGAAATTATTTTCTAAACTTGATAGCGAATAATTTACATAAAATGTTTCGATTTAAAGAAGCATTGGAATCTTACGATTTAGCTATTTAGAAAAATCCAGATGATGCAGAATTTTATTATGAAAAAGGTATGGCTTTTTATTTAGCTATAATATTAGCAAATACTTTAGATGAAATGAATAGATTAGAAGAAGCATTGGATAATTATGATTTAGCCATTTAGAAAAACCCAGAATAAGCAGATTATTTCAAATGTAAAGGTACCAATAGTAATCCATAATTGTTATAGCTATCATTTTAGATAAAATGAAGAGATTTTAAGAAGCATTAGACTATTATGATTTAGCGATTAAGAAAGATCCAGATGATGCAGAATTTTATTATGAAAAAGGTATGGCTTTGTATTTAGCTATAATATTAGCAAATACTTTAGATGAAATGAATAGATTAGAAGAAGCATTGGATAATTATGATTTAGCCATTTAGAAAAACCCAGAATAAGCAGATTATTTCAAATGTAAAGGTACCAATAGTAATCCACAATTGTTATAGCTATCACGTTAGATAAAATGAATAGATTTTAAGAAGCATTAGATTATTATGATTTAGCTATTTATAAAAATCCAGATGACGCAGACTATTTCAAATGCAAAGGTAATAATATTTATCTACAATTTTTATAGCTATCGCTTTAGATAGTTTGAATAGATATTAAGAAGCATTGTTCTTTTATGATTAAGCTATTTAGAAAAACCCAGAAGAAGCGGAATTTTATTTTGAAAAAGGTATATATATATATACATAAATTTATTTTAGCTAATACATTAAATTCAATGAATAGATATGAAGAAGCATTACTATATTATGATCTAGCTATTTAAAGAAACTCAAAAGATTCTCAATATTATATATGCAAAGGTCTATATAAAACTCTATACTAATAGCAAATAATTTATATGATATGAATAGATATCATAAAGCTTAGGAATAATATGAATTAGCAATCAAGATTAACCCAGAAGATGCAAATATTTATTTATGCAAAGGCAATATACATCAATTTTTAAATTAATAGCAAATAACTTATATAATATGAATAGATATGAAGAAGCATTGGAATAATATGACTTAGCCATTTAGAAAAACTCTGAAGATGCAGATTATTATAAATGCAAAGGTTGAAATTATTTTCTAAACTTGATAGCGAATAATTTACATAAAATGTTTCGATTTAAAGAAGCATTGGAATCTTACGATTTAGCTATTTAGAAAAATCCAGATGATGCAGAATTTTATTATGAAAAAGGTATGGCTTTTTATTTAGCTATAATATTAGCAAATACTTTAGATGAAATGAATAGATTAGAAGAAGCATTGGATAATTATGATTTAGCCATTTAGAAAAACCCAGAATAAGCAGATTATTTCAAATGTAAAGGTACCAATAGTAATCCATAATTGCTATAGCTATCACTTTAGATAAAATGAAGAGATTTTAAGAAGCATTAGACTATTATGATTTAGCGATTAAGAAAGATCCAGATGATGCAGAATTTTATTATGAAAAAGGTATGGCTTTGTATTTAGCTATAATATTAGCAAATACTTTAGATGAAATGAATAGATTAGAAGAAGCATTGGATAATTATGATTTAGCCATTTAGAAAAACCCAGAATAAGCAGATTATTTCAAATGTAAAGGTACCAATAGTAATCCACAATTGTTATAGCTATCACGTTAGATAAAATGAATAGATTTTAAGAAGCATTAGATTATTATGATTTAGCTATTTATAAAAATCCAGATGACGCAGACTATTTCAAATGCAAAGGTAATAATATTTATCTACAATTTTTATAGCTATCGCTTTAGATAGTTTGAATAGATATTAAGAAGCATTGTTCTTTTATGATTAAGCTATTTAGAAAAACCCAGAAGAAGCGGAATTTTATTTTGAAAAAGGTATATATATATATACATAAATTTATTTTAGCTAATACATTAAATTCAATGAATAGATATGAAGAAGCATTACTATATTATGATCTAGCTATTTAAAGAAACTCAAAAGATTCTCAATATTATATATGCAAAGGTCTATATAAAACTCTATACTAATAGCAAATAATTTATATGATATGAATAGATATCATAAAGCTTAGGAATAATATGAATTAGCAATCAAGATTAACCCAGAAGATGCAAATATTTATAAATGCAAAGGCAATATACATCAATTTTTAAATTAATAGCAAATAACTTATATAATATGAATAGATATGAAGAAGCATTGGAATAATATGACTTAGCCATTTAGAAAAACTCTGAAGATGCAGATTATTATAAATGCAAAGGTTGAAATTATTTTCTAAACTTGATAGCGAATAATTTACATAAAATGTTTCGATTTAAAGAAGCATTGGAATCTTACGATTTAGCTATTTAGAAAAATCCAGATGATGCAGAATTTTATTATGAAAAAGGTATGGCTTTTTATTTAGCTATAATATTAGCAAATACTTTAGATGAAATGAATAGATTAGAAGAAGCATTGGATAATTATGATTTAGCCATTTAGAAAAACCCAGAATAAGCAGATTATTTCAAATGTAAAGGTACCAATAGTAATAATTGTTATAGCTATCATTTTAGATAAAATGAAGAGATTTTAAGAAGCATTAGACTATTATGATTTAGCGATTAAGAAAGATCCAGATGATGCAGAATTTTATTATGAAAAAGGTATGGCTTTGTATTTAGCTATAATATTAGCAAATACTTTAGATGAAATGAATAGATTAGAAGAAGCATTGGATAATTATGATTTAGCCATTTAGAAAAACCCAGAATAAGCAGATTATTTCAAATGTAAAGGTACCAATAGTAATCCATAATTGTTAAAGCTATCATTTTAGATAAAATGAAGAGATTTTAAGAAGCATTAGACTATTATGATTTAGCTATTAAGAAAGATCCAGATGATGCAGAATTTTATTATGAAAAAGGTATGGCTTTGTATTTAGCTATAATATTAGCAAATACTTTAGATGAAATGAATAGATTAGAAGAAGCATTGGATAATTATGATTTAGCCATTTAGAAAAACCCAGAATAAGCAGATTATTTCAAATGTAAAGGTACCAATAGTAATCCATAATTGTTATAGCTATCATTTTAGATAAAATGAAGAGATTTTAAGAAGCATTAGACTATTATGATTTAGCGATTAAGAAAGATCCAGATGATGCAGAATTTTATTATGAAAAAGGTATGGCTTTGTATTTAGCTATAATATTAGCAAATACTTTAGATGAAATGAATAGATTAGAAGAAGCATTGGATAATTATGATTTAGCCATTTAGAAAAACCCAGAATAAGCAGATTATTTCAAATGTAAAGGTACCAATAGTAATCCATAATTGTTATAGCTATCATTTTAGATAAAATGAAGAGATTTTAAGAAGCATTAGACTATTATGATTTAGCGATTAAGAAAGATCCAGATGATGCAGAATTTTATTATGAAAAAGGTATGGCTTTGTATTTAGCTATAATATTAGCAAATACTTTAGATGAAATGAATAGATTAGAAGAAGCATTGGATAATTATGATTTAGCCATTTAGAAAAACCCAGAATAAGCAGATTATTTCAAATGTAAAGGTACCAATAGTAATCCATAATTGTTATAGCTATCATTTTAGATAAAATGAAGAGATTTTAAGAAGCATTAGACTATTATGATTTAGCGATTAAGAAAGATCCAGATGATGCAGAATTTTATTATGAAAAAGGTATGGCTTTGTATTTAGCTATAATATTAGCAAATACTTTAGATGAAATGAATAGATTAGAAGAAGCATTGGATAATTATGATTTAGCCATTTAGAAAAACCCAGAATAAGCAGATTATTTCAAATGTAAAGGTACCAATAGTAATCCATAATTGTTAAAGCTATCATTTTAGATAAAATGAAGAGATTTTAAGAAGCATTAGACTATTATGATTTAGCTATTAAGATAAATCCAGATGACCCAGACTATTTTAAATCCAAAGGTAAAAATTCAAATCTACAATTTTTATAGCTACTACTTTAGAGAATTTGAATAGATATTAAGAAGCGTTGGATAATTATGAGTTAGCCATTTAGAAAAACCCAGAAAAAGGAGATCATTTCAAATGTAACAGTAAATTAAATAAAATTGTTTACATAGCAATAACTAAATTTCAGAAATCATATAATATTAAAAAAATGAATAGCTAATAAGATGATTTCGATAGAAATACATTTCTTCAATATCAATCATCAATAAAAAATATGTACGATCAAATGGCTTCATCAAATCCAAAGATTATAAATAGCCTTAAAAAATCTGCCAAAAGTAGAATATATCACACTCATATAATAGGAAAGATTGTAAAAAAAATGAATAGATATTTAAGAAGCATTGGAAAATTAAGATATTCATTCCATAAAATAATTTGACATCATAAATTATTATTAGTAATCATTAATTAACTATTTATTGATAATTTATTAATTCTTTAATTGTTTAATATTTTAGAATGGTTTGCCCTATTTATATCTAACAGCTCAAAGTCCTTTCTTCCAAAGACTAGTTTACAGAAAAATTAATATTTTTGTTGTTTTGTTTGAATTTGTTGTTTTGAGCTTTGTTTTATTTATTATTTCTTTATTAGAAATAAAGCAAGAACACAAAAATCAAATGTAGAAAAAAAATAAATTTATCAGATGATCTAGTGATTAATGGAAATATAAAGAGATTCGATTCAACTGTTTACAGAATATAGTCAGAATTGAATATATAAGATTTAGCAGACCTAGCAACTTATATTGTTTATAGTTAGAAATATTACTTTGTTGGTGGTAGAATTAAAATTAATTGATATTCTTAATGCTTAATAAATCCATTAATTTTACAAAAATATTAATTACTAATTAGAATATCTCTAATTTTTATATAATTATTACTCTCAACATAGTTTATGGAACAAATTGTTTTTAATTTATCAAACATATTCAAAGTTATTTGAAGTATTTATTTTAGCAATTACAATTCAATTATTTCTTCAGAAAACCCTAACCTATTTATTTTATATATATCTAATTTTCAACCTCTTTGATTTATTTAAGCTTTATTAATAGAGAAAACATATTCGCGTTCAAATTGATTATTTCGAAAAATAGTCTTTGTAATGGTTTTTCGTTTTTTAATTAATTATCCAAACATTTCTAAAATTTTGAACGTTCATAACAAATTAATGGATTTGGTTCCTTTCAAATTTTATGAAAATACCCACTTATCTAGAGGGTGATTGCCCAATTGTTCTTGCCTTTTTTTTTAATGTTTTTTAATTTCCAATGTTGCAATTTATCTTATACTGTTTTCAGTTGGGGGTATGAATGATTCGAAAAAGTTTAATCTACTGAAAAGGTGATTTTTTGCTACCTGATTCTAGACTAATTAGAGATTTGAGGAGAAAAGAGATTTGAGTGGTAAATTTGGATGAAATGAATTCGCATTATTTGCTAATTTTTTTGATTTTAAATAATTTTTTATAACTTTAATTTAATGAAATCTTTTATTTCGATTATAAAATCTTATGTTTTAATGAAATATCTTTCTTTCTATTTTAAAGAAAAATTGCTATCGAATTTTCTTTGAAACCATACAATAATGGCCCTAAAATTGAAAAAAATTCAAAAGACAAGGAACACATCATTCTTAAGGAAATAACAATAAAAATTTGAAGGTCAAGGAAAATTAAGTGAAGATGCAGTTTAGATAAAATTTAGGAGTTGATGGAAAAAAAATACCTCTACTCTCCCAAGT